ACTTTTGCCAGCCCTGCCACCCTATTGTTACGCCACTGACCATAAAATAGATGTTGTGGTATTTGTGCTTTGACTCCATACAAAAATTGGTTAGTTAATATTTCATAATATGAGTGTTAGTTGTCATAGTATTTGATAGCCCCGAGTAATTAATGTCTCCTCCATATTTTACCATTTCTCTTATTTTTCTCAATGCATTGTTCAGCTCTAATTGTTTTGTTTTGATGATCTTACTTTTGTTTGCCGTTCTGTTCTGTTCTTCGTTTTTCATATGTAATGGAGGGTGGGGGTCGCCCAACGGGGGCCAGCCGGGGATTGTATTTTCTTTGTTTTCCGGTATGGTGTGTTTTGTTTTCTTTTTTAGTTGCTAGATTCTACAGGTCTTGACGTTGAATTTGCCGTGGAGCGAAATATATCATTGGTTTTGTTTATTTAACTTAAGATTGGACATATTGACATATATTAATTAATGACATAATTATATGTAAGTATAAATAACTATACTTCTTAGCTTTTCTTGGCATATATATTTTTGAATTTTCCTAATTTTCTAGCTATTATTTCGATCTTGCGGCAGTTACAGCCACGCTTAGAGTTTATATTTGGTTTAGTGTGATCGTTGGGTTCGAGGATTACTATAAATTATATAGACACATGCATAAAAAAAAACTACACTAAAATCTCCTTAAACAACCCCCTATAAAACCCTCGTGGACATCTTGAGTCCACCTAAATTTGAGGGAAAACCCCCCAAGTAGGCAACACTGGAATCAATAAGAGCTCCATAAGCAACCCGCTCAACAGACAATGAAAAGTGTACTTAAATGGAGCACTAATTACTTTAAACGAAACTGTTTCCTAGAGGTTCTATCCCCGATCGAAACGCAGGCTGTATCTAATATATAAAATTCTCGTGCCACAATGTTCGTTCCCATACTCCTCCGAAACGGCTTGACCGATTCTTATGAAATTTTTATGCATATTCAGTAAGTCTGAGAATCGGCTACTATCTACATTCAAACCCCTAAATTTTCATTATTTAGATAAAATTTTGTGTTTTTATTTTTTTATGATACAGCATACAAAAATACATACAACCCCTATTTTTTATTATTGTAGATAGTTATTTTTATTGAACTAAAAAATGTTTTCTAGAAATAATAAACATGGCAAAACAAACGTTGTTATATATTCGTCTTGTATTTATTATTATTCGGACACTCTCAATGCCAGAAGGCGTTGTCGATCTTTTAAGAATTGGTACAATCTTTTCGCGAAGGAGCCTATTTGGCACGGCAATACTTCAGTGCACAGCTGGTTCCATATAGCGGTGGTGAGCATTAAGAGTGCCTTTTTTGCCTCGACGTCCGATGATGAAAATCAGCGCATCTCCATGGTAAATGCAGAGAGACACCACAACTCTACACGACGCCAAATCTAAAATCAGTTTAAAAAATTCTTGATTCATACAAAATTTGCGAACAAAATAAAACTGTGTTACGAACAAAACTAAGTCATTGCAAAATAAATGTTTTGAATTTGAATTAATATCGATTTCTAACGATGATGCGATTCAAAAACCGGTCTCTGGGAAACCCCTATCGGTTTTTCTAAACTGATTTCCATAAACACGTTTACGTGAATGAGCCGTCAATAACAAATTCCTTTGAATACATCAATAATACGTATGTCAGACTACGAACTGTAAATATTGTCTCTAGTATTAATAAATAAAAATAAATTATTCCATTTTCAAATCTCCGAAAAACCGAAGGAGGTTATACATACAAAAACAAAAAAAAACTTCGTCTATTTTTTAGTCTATGTTCAAGCATATTTATCTAAAATCCTATGACACCAACAAATCCTGATAATAATGGAATCACACAATCTTTAATTAATGTATACTTTCCGTCGTATTATGTTAATTACAGCCAAACCTGGGTAAGTGAGAACTGGATAAGTGAAAAAACTCTATAAGTGAGAGTAATAACCGGGACCCGTCATTTTAAGCTCCCAAAACCTCTATTAGCGAGAAACAGAAACCTCTGTAAGAGAGAGTCGTTTTTCCCTTATGCACCTCCATAAGTGAGACTGCTACTTATCTTTACCTCTATAAGCGACAGTCGGGCTTTATTTATTTATATTATGTACTTTAAATGCGTTGGAGACGGTCCCCATCAGTACTTTGAAAACGCTGCGCGGCGGTTGTTAATCAAACAATATTCGACAAAATTTATGAGTTAGCCTGGCCATAGACGGACCGCATGTTGCAGTCGATACCGACTGCTCTAAGCGGTCGCCGCACGGCGAACTGCAGTTTCCATACTAAATTCATATCCGCCATACACGGACCGCACGACCAGTTTCTGAGCGGTCGGAGCAGTCGCTCTGCGGTCGAGTTTCGCCGTGCGGTCGACTGCTAGAGCTGCCGGACCCACCATACACGGACCGCTACAAGCGGTTGCTGCCGACCGCGCGACCCTCAAATATAATAAAATACTAACTAATTTATCAAATGAAACCACGGACATTCTAAAGTAGTTGAAAAACTTTTTAGTGTCTTCTCTCAGCTGGGGATACAAAGTATGAAATATTCCATGCTGTTCTCTTGATTGTAGTATTGGACGCACCCACATACTGCGGTGTCTTCTACGCCTACGCTTGCGTAGTAATAGAACAAGAAGCAGTGTTTCTTCATCGAAATCCATCTTGAAAATGAACTCGCATCAGTATTATTTTGCGGTCGAACACAACTGCTCCAAGCAGTCGTAGCCGACTGCATTATGCGGTCGTGTTGCAGTCGTGTACGACTTCAACGCGACCGCTCTAGAGCAGTCGGTCTCGACTGCAACATGCGGTCCGTCTATGGCCTTTGGCCAGGCTTAGAGATAAACATTCAAAATACAAAAACAGAAACCCAAACGAAATTGACGGTTTTTTTAAGTGTAAATTAGTTCTAAATAAAATAAAATATATATGTACATAATATGTTGTGCACATTATGCACATAATTTTATCATATTACATATTTTCAACAGTCGTACTTGCTCTATAAGAGAAAAACGCTACCCATGTACCTGCATTAGCAAGAAACTCGGGTTAGTGAGAAACCTCCATAAGCGAGAATGAGATTGTGCTCCCTTGAACTCTCGCTTATCCAGGTTTGACTGTAAATGTAAATAGGTACATGTACGTTTCATCTACCATACAAAACATTCCAACGAATTGACAACTTTCTTTCTTCTTAAAATAGTAAATTGTATACGAACGGGAACAATACAGGTAATGAAAAAGTACGGTAGTATTTTTTTATACAAAAATATGTGGCCAGTATTACAAAGTTGGAGATAAAACCTTTTTGTTGAATAAAAAAAAGAAACATCACGTAAACAATGAATCTTCATATAGGTTTCTAACCAAATTAAAACGCATTTTCATACATCTTTGGAACCTGATTTCGTCAGCCTCACTATTCTGTCTCAGTATAAAAATATATTATAAATTACAGAGTACAAGCGCAAGTAGTATAAATGTAATTTAAAAACCTATCTGACTCTGAATCATTTAACATCAAGTTCATGTTAATTACGCAATTAATAAACAATCGTTTTCCTCTAAGTTTTTTGTAGGTATTCAAAGAATAACAATACAAGTATCAGGTGAATACATCGCAATAATTACGCTAATAATTGTAAAGAGGAATAATTTACGTTTGCAACGAACGAACTTAAAAACTACTAAACTTTCTCGGTTAAATACAATAAAGCCTAATCCCAAAGTATAAAGTATTCAAAAACTTTGAAGCTGTCAACTGTCTTTAATCGTTTAAAACATGAGCTTATATAACTAACATTAAATTAGGGGTACTGGGGTTTGACTATGGACTAACAAAAACTGTAACGTATTCATGGGTTCTTAAAACTAAGTGACATATCTGTTACCTATAAAGAATATAAGTTATGTCGAGCTGTTGATGATGGAAACGAGAATGTTATATTACCATTTATGAATGTATGAAAAACTAGACCTAAACTGACGTTTTACAATTATTGGCTAGAAGTGAAGGGATGTTAGTTAACATTTCGTTTACGCTTTTTATTATTAACTAATAGATATACAATATACATATACTAGCTGACCCGGCAAACGTTGTTATGTAACGTATATTTTTTTCTAGTTAACATTTTTTTAGTTCAATAAAATAACTATATACTATAAAAAATAGGGGTTGGTTGTAGAGGGGTGAAAATTAACTCCTTTGTTGACCCGAGGCCTCTAGACCTCTAAATCCGGTCCTGGTTTTCAACGGTTTCTCCATCTATCTATTTATCGGCATCTAGCGGTAACTATCTATAATAAAGTTTATAATTGGTATTATTCGATTTTCCTTGTATTTCTACAATATTTAATTGGAAAAAGATAATGGCGATATGTGTCAAATGCTATTGATGGCGCGATTTCAAAGAAATTGATTATATTTTGTCATAATTATCAAATAACGATAAGGAATTAAAAACACTATCGGAGGGAGGAAGGTGCTGCTCTTCCTCTGACCTATAGGGGGAATCCTCCACCACTAAATGCCCCAAGGCCGTCGTGACTTTTTTTATGGAATCTCGCTTTTGGCCTTAAGGGCTTTGACAGCTCAGCTCGGGCTGTTTTGGCGAGAGTAGCTCGGCCGGATTGGCCTTTTCCCGCGACTCCTACGACTCCGACCTCGGCTTGAGCCGCCTCCCCTCGGCTTTTGTTGTCTGGAGGGCAGGACGGAAGCTCATTGGAGTGAGTGAAGTCGTACAGTTTGCATTCGTGTATGCGGTGATGTTAGTTATTTCACCATGCCTCCTGCTGATAGAGGACAAGTTTTAAATAATTTTTATTTTTACGAGAAAAAAAACGAACACAAAACACCGCCTGTTTCTCTGTGCTACTGTGTTGCAAATAGTGTTATTATTAATATTTATTTTTATATACAGAACGAACAATGCGGAGTTGCTAAGATGCAAGCTGTCGTTTTTCTCGGGTTGGTCAGCTTTTGTATCGCCCAAAATGGTAAGAAAGCTACAACAAGCTTATTATCTTAATATAATTTTTTTTTTATTATTATACAATTATATTATCTTAATATAATTTTTTTATATTTTATAAGTTTTTAAGTTTGTCCGCTATGGACTCCAAAACTACTTAACCGATTTCTATCAAATTTGTGTGCAGTTTGATTTAACTTAAAAGATAGAATAGACATCGTAATATTTTATCACCAATTATTTGTTTATTATTTGACAGTCACAATTCTAACAGATGGCGCTGTGTTGAAAGTACCAACGTTTCACATAAGCTACAATTTAATGTCATAACCACCAACAAAGCATCGTGGTCCCCATGACTGGTGTTCTCCTACCGTTTCCCTTGAATAGTTTTTTACAATGTAATATAACAAAAACCTTAGCCACAGCAACGCTTGGCCGAGTCTGCTAGTTAAATAGTATATTAAAATGTTGAGTATGTATGAGCCCGTCTTCAGACCCTCAAGAAAAAAGGTTACGTCCACATTCTTTTGTATAATTTCTTGTAGTCTATGGCTAGCAAATTAGATGATTTCACCCGCGCATCTACCGCACGCTTTAGTGAGAAACGTATTCAAATTGAATTTAAAGGAAATTAGACTAAAGTTAGAGTTAAATCATTGGCGCTACGACCTTTTTAGGTCTGGGCCTCAGATTTGTGTATCTGTTTCATGATCATTAGTTAATCTAATTGGCAAGTAGGTATTCCCCTCCTGTGCCACACGCCGTCGACTTTTTGGGTCTAAGGCAAGCCGGTTTCCTCACGATGTTTTCCTTCAGCGTACAAACGAGTCTTAGAAAGTCCATTGCTTCACAGCCGGGGATCGAACCTACGACCTCAGGGATGAGAGTCACACGCTGAAGCTACTTAGACCCAAACGGTGTGTGTCAGGCACAGAAGGCTGATCACCTACTTGGAAAAAACAAATGATCACGACACAATTACGGAAATCTGAGGAATTACTTGAAAAGGCGTCACGGGTTTTAACTCTGCCACGGGGACAAATCTTTTTATTTCAGTATTTTATATCTTAATATTGTATCTTATTATCTTAAAGAGAAGACAGAAATCTGACCTTATATTGAATATTACATAATTACCAATATAATGAAAATTTATTTATATTTTGTAAATTTTTTGCAGTTGGCCAGCAGTGTACAGTCAAACACACAAACACAATAGGAAGATGTTTACCCAGTAATCAATGTCCGTCAGCCAGAGATGACCTACGGTAAGATAATCTGAGAAATAATTAATCCTTTGATAATTATTTTATAGACAGGTAGATGAGCAGCAATCTGACATGTAATTTTTTTGAAGTACTTCTTTTGGCGCATTAGGAAAAATGTTAAGTTGGTCGAATTTTACTTGAAACTGGCATAAAGTTAAAACTATTGCCATAATAAATAAAAAATAAAGTTTGTCGAAGACGAATCATGTTTTTGATTGTACTTAATATAATATTTGTGTAATTGTGTTTTACGTAAAAATCTTGACGATTGTTTACGTGTTGTTTATGGTAGGTCATAGGGAATAGTCGCCATCTTGACTGATCAGCGTTTTGGCGTTTTGGCGAATTGAGAATGTTTGAAGTTATACTAATTCTTTTGGCGCATTAGGAAAAATTTTAAGAGTAAATTTTTACGTTGCGCGCGCACATCGTCACAAAAAACCGACACCCTGAAGTTAGCATAGTCAACATTTTATAATAAAAAATGTCAATTTCTTTAATTATGTAGAAATATTTTTTTTGTAATATTTAAATGAATATTATTTAACTAGATAATCCGTTTTAATTCAATGTATTAAATACCTTTTTTCTATTGTTAGGGTCTGTTTCACAATAGACGGATAAGTTCTACATAAGTTCCAAATTAGCTATTTATTACTTATTGGTAGGATAAACACTATTGTTGCGTTTCACGACTGTCAGATAGCGCTATTCGTCACATAAAGTCCATCATAAGTTATGAGTCCGAATAGAGTGGGAAATAGCACAATTTATCTTCCAAATAATTTATGTGTTGCATTTGGTACTTTATCCATACATTGTGAAACAGGCCCTTAGTATCGTGTCTAAAAACGAAACGGCGAAATTTTTTTTTTAAAGATTTTTATCTTGTTACGTCAAAGAAGTATAACTTCTAAAGCGTGTATATGAGTACACACACGTTTTTTTATTTCAGAAACAATGGAATTAATCCCACGATATGTTCGTATACATTCGACGCTGTGGTGGTCTGTTGCAGGGATGGTTCTTCCATTCTTAACACTTCAGGTGCGAGGCAAACCAAGTAAGTATTATACATTTTATTGTAAAATTTTAACAGAAATAAATATATATGATGCCGCCGCCCATGGATACTCACTGCCAGCGTTAAATTTTTTAATTATTTCGATGATTACTTTGTAGGTTAAGAAAATTTTAAATACTGTATACTTGATTGTAAATAAAATTTTAAACTTAGTATTGAAAGAATTTAAATTATATTTTGACATTTGCATGCTAATTTGACTTGGATAATTGGTTTTTTGTTGTATGTATATTTTTTTTTTTCATTTTCCTTGTATATTAAATAACAAATTTATTTATTTCAGCAGAAGACCAGTATCGTCCAGCACAAGAACTATAAAAACGAAGTTGCGTCTGAGTGAGAGAAGTGAGTTAATGTCATTTTTAAGGTAGCCTCTGACATTTTTGTCAATGAAACCCAAACATTGTGGCAGTAGCGTAACTATACCATCTGGGGCCCTTGGCAAATTCTTTTCATGGGGCCCTATCAGTAAAAATCGTTCCACGTTGTGTCCGTTTTTTGTGACGGCCTACGGGTGTCGGTTTTTTGTGACAGTGTGCGCGATTCGTAAAAACTTACTCTCATAATTTTGCCCTATCGCGCCAAAAGAAGTATAACATCAAAAATTCAAATCAAACATTCACAATTTGCCAAAACGCCAAAACGCTTAGGTATCAGGCAAGATGGCGACTATTCCTTACGACCTACCATAAACAACACGTAAACAATCGTCAAGATTTTTACGTAAAACACAATTACACAAAATATATTATATTAAGTACAATCAAAAACATGATTCGTCTTCGACAAACTTTTTTTTTTATGTTATGGCAATAGTTTTAACGTTATGCCAGTTTCAAGTAAAAACCGACAAACTTAAACTGAAACAGTATTAGGATTAGACAAGCGAAAACTGTATTTAATGCATGCTACGTCATAGTTGATTTGACTAATCTGTGGCCGTCTTGTGTCACGTGACTGACGTATAAAGAAAATTTACTATGAATTTTGTTTATAAAATTATTATTATTATTCACAAGTACTCTGTAAGCCATTTTTTATACAGATTACTCTCAATGACAATTATTTTTCATACTATCACATAGCTTATTATGCAGAAAACTGTCTGTGGTTTCCTTAGGGTATCACAGTTTTAATAAGACAATTCTTTAAAGCATGTGTTTTGCAAGTCTTTAATGTATTTTCCCTTCCAGAATGCCAAGAATACTCACGAGGCGTGACACAAATGGTAGACTTCATCCCCTTAGTACCAGATCCAGACACACTGCACATTTCAGCAGCTAAATGTGACTATAACAAAGTGGATTTGATTGTTGGAGGAGAGACTACTAGCCCTGGGGAATTTCCGCATATGGCGAGTTAAATTAAATTACCACGTATTTTTATAAATAAGTTTTTCATAGATTTGTTTGATGCTAATTTTCAATACAGCCCAATAGATGGCGCTGTTCAATTATTAAACAGTTTTAGATCGCGATGGCGAAATAACTTGTCAACTATGCATCACGCTAAATGCTATTTTACGGTTTTCATCATTAAACATATAAAAATATGTTTGACTACGCATGACATAGATATATCAACTCTATCAAAACTACAATATTTTTTTGAACTTTGAAACAAATATAGTATATTTTATTATTATAATATCCTATTACTTTATCTATTGTTTTTTCAATGTGAATAATGAAGGTTTTACGCTCAGGCTGCACTCGGCTGGGTGAACCAGGAAGACGGCTATGACTTCCTCTGTGGTGGAAGTCTAATCAGCTCCCGATTTGTGCTAACAGCTGCGCATTGCATCAAAGCTGCTAGAAGGCAGCCTGGCACCCCATCGATTGTCAGACTTGGCGATCAGAACTTAGATCCCAATGTTGAAGATAATGCAACGCCTGTGGATGTAAGTCTTTCTGTGCTCTTGTATTTTTTGTGATGAAAGAAACTTGGTTTGCTTTTCGTCAGTCTTTGGAATTCAGGGAGTTAAGATAAAAATCTAAATATATTTTATTGAAATTCAAAAACCTGTGTATGTTTGCAGACAAGAGAAAATTCAAAAATCGAATGTATGTAGATTAAAGACTGTAAATCAAATTCGAATTTCGAATGTATTTTAAATTGAAGACTGACACAAATTAAAAAATCTAGTATATGTGAAAGTACCAGACTGTAGAGAAAATTTAAAAATCGAATATTGAGAGTTAAAGAATTTAGACCGAACTTAAAAACCGAACAATCGAATATATGCGAGAGTGATTATTGGTGACCGATATTGGACCTGTAACACTGACTGCTCAGGGCGGACTGGTTGCTGAGCTTAGACTTCATGGCTAACCAAGAATCATGATGTCTTTAAATTACTCAATCAATAATTAAATCGCGCTATCGAATTCCGACCGTTATATGCTCAACCAGTCAACTGCTGGGGGATTCTGTCTTTAGTTTCGTCCACAATAAGTTGAGATTGAGTTTTTTAAATATAATCTACCGTATTTCAGGTCCCTATAAAAAACATAATCCCACATCCGCAATACAACTCGCCAATCAAATACAACGACATAGCACTCATGGAGTTACACACAGATGTGGACTTCGAGGCACACATAAGACCGGCTTGTCTATGGACCCGAAATGACTTTAGCGGACACGAGAAGGCCATAGCTACTGGTTGGGGAGTTACTAATCCAGGTAAATGAAATACATAAATATTTCAATACATTACCGCTCAACTTAATATGGCAGTCTTACGCTGGCAATCATGATTGATGAAAAGCATCTCAATTGTACTAGCATTCGTCGAGTAATGTAAACAGTAATATTAGGGAGCGTTCAAGTATTACGTAACGAATTTTTGGGGGGGTTGTAAAACGTTACTATGCGGGGCGGGGATTGAATTACGCGTTATTGTTAATATTATTTTCGACTTTCCAGTACTTTACACCACATAATGGTAACTTTTAGGTATAAAGAGTCACTACGAAACGTTTTATTATACTTGGGTACAGAAAAACGTTACGGCGCGTTACATTGAGGGGGGGATTTAATAATCTCCAAAAATTGCGTGACGTAATACTTGAACGCTCCCTAATTTAATTTAATTATTTATTTTATTCAGGTTCTACCACAGCCGAAACGTCTAACGACCTCCAGAAGGTAGCCCTGAGTCTACTAGAGAACGCTCGATGCGATGTATTACTGAAAAACTTAAAGAACAGATTATGGTGGGGTTTTGTGAACACTCAGATGTGTGCTGGTGAACTGAGAGGGGGAAAGGATACCTGCCAGGTAAAGCGTTAGCTTGTGATCAGTCTCATTGTTTTGTATATTATGGACGAGTTCTCGTTGATTATAAAATCTGAATTTTTACAAATTTGTAATTGTTTTTCTGTATTCTGTATCTTGTCTATGGTTATAATTCTGTATCTATATGGTTTTATAACCATATAGATACTATATATAAATAGATAATTATTTATAAGTAAAATACTTTTTTTACAAGTGTAATACACAATAAGTTTATAATATACTATAACCATTAACCAGGTTGTATATTTTCTCATGTAAGTGAATGTTGTTATATTCTTAATGAGAACTAATTATCTTAAAAAGAGACCAGTGGCGCTATAACCTTTTAGGTCTAGGCCTCAGATTTCTATATCTGTTTCGTTTTAGTTTTTTTCTTATAGGCAAGTATGTCATCTGTGCTTGTCGGTAATAGGATAGGATTTTTTTATTAATTATCTTATATACAAATAAAATATATAATTTCGTATACGTAGCGCTTATACATTTCCGTGATTAATTTTAAGTTATTTATTCTCCAGGGTGACTCCGGCTCTCCCCTTCAAGTGGCGTCGAAGGAGAACCAATGTGTATTCCACATTGTGGGAGTAACATCGTTCGGAAGAATGTGCGCGCAGTCAGGCAACCCCGCGATATATACCAGAGTTTCTAGTTACTTGGACTGGATTGAAAGTGTTGTGTGGCCTGAGGAGTTTTAATTTTAATTATTTCAATAAAAGTACCGGACCAAATCGCGTTTTATTACAAATAAGTCCCCGAGCTTATAAAAATTGTGAGAGCAAAGGTATTTGTGGTGTGGGATAGTCTGTCGCACTGACAGCCACCACGTCGAGTACTTCGTACAAGGCCGCGTTACAGATGCTCCGGGGTCGCTCTCGCATTCTACCGGGATATTCTCGCAAACCTCCGGAGCAGTATACATAGGAGATAGGAGATGGGCATATCTTCTCCTATTTACTCCGCATCTTCTAACCCTAGGATTCGATCTAAAGGTCTCCCTCTCTCGTTCTGCTGTCCCCTTCTGTAGCAAGTCTCAACATAATCAATCTCAAAGTAATGATAGGGACAATCACGTGCCAGTATCTCCTAAATACCATCTCTTTGTCCATGGCGCAACGGACAGTCACCCAGGTAGTCCTGGAATGCGTGGCTGTGGCTTCCCAACAAGTAGAAATCCTTGGAGTAGCGAGGTTGCTCGCAGCCTGCGAAGTGACCAGGAAACTTCTGTGCATCTGGAAGGAATATCTATTTTTTTCTGATGTTATCATAAAATATAAAAAATAACATCAGAAAAGAATGGAAGCAGCTGGAAGAGGTCTATGTGTCACAGGACACGCTGATTACCAATATGTCACTTAAATAAGTGTTCATATATTAATTATACTGGGTGTCAGCAAAAAATGCTTAATTATAATAATAACGTCAGTGGCGTAACTATACCATCTGGGGCCCGTGGAAAATGCTTTTTATGGGGCCCTATCAGTAAAAATCGTCACGTTGCACTCAGTTTAAGTTTAATAAACTTCGAGATTTTCGGAGACTTCACATTCATCAATAGAACATAATATCTCTTGGGTAGGGGCCCTCTTGGGTCGTAGGCTCGTGGCATTTTGCCAGCCCTGCCACCCTATTGTTACGCCACTGGTGGAGTGGAAAAAACAATTTAATTCATACCTACTGTTATGAATAAATTAGGGTTTTAGGAGCAAACAATTAACTAGGGGTGATATTCACACTTCAAACTTAAGTGTAATTTGGCATACGGGAGCCACTAAGCGAATCTCGACTTAAATCTAACCTGAGCATTCATTCTGAATTCAACTAACAAACAAAAATCATTTTTTCAAGTAGGTAACACAATGTACACTTATGAACGTCAAAAAAAAAGAAATATACATTAAATCCTTCTAATTTTACATTTACTGCCAGTTCTCAAATCAAGGGCTTAGAACGGAAGAGAAGAACTAGCAATAAACTCTGCGCCACTCTTTTTAATCGCCAAGCCAATCGTAAAGCCAAAGCTAACAAGTAAGTGGATTAATCGTATTATGTATCTGTTCGGGTACTTTCATTATTCATTCAGTCAGTCTCGAATTACGCGTCCGTCGCTCGCGTTTTCTGTAGTGTTTTCTTATATAGTGGCGTGTAAGTTGTGTTAGTGATATAATCGAAAAAAAAAACACATTTATTGTTTACTAATTGTTTTTGTGTATTACAGAAATAATATTACGCTAAGCTAAATTTATAGTTTATTGTTTTTGGGTTACGAGAGTACACTTCACTGTTCTATTTTAAAACTATTGACAATCTTAAATGCAATCCAAAAATTTTAGTTAAATAACAAAATAATATATATTATAGCGCCATCTTGTGGTTGTATTGTGAAGCCATTTGGTACTATAACAAAAATTATCCTTTAATCATATAGACCGCACTGCTGTGTTTTACTTAACAAATATTATAAATAGGTTGAAAGCTATTTAATTAGTTCCATTTGCGGAAATTGCGGCAGTCCCAAGTCCCAGTTTATTCTAATATGAAATACTTTACGTTTAAAATATAAATCGATTTCATAAACCGAGAAGTGGTGACTAATTAGATAAAAGCTTATTGAACCATTGGTTTCCTTAGTTATTGGCTAACTTAATTACGTCGGAAATATTTGGTTTCAAGTTATATAACATCTACGGGGGTCGTTTAAACACACCAGAAATATAGAAGAAATTTTTTTTTAACTTTAGGTTAACTACTATTTTTACAATTAAAATTAGTTTCCGTTTTTATCCTGTGAATGACCTCACTGACTGATGCCATACAAGTAGGTTTTCGGATTTTAAAGGGTTCGATTTCGGATTTTAAAGGATTCGATTTCGGATAGACTCCTTTCAAAAATGAATGCTATTTAAAATAAAAGATGAATTTCAGTACAATTTAACTTCTACCTTGAAAAATTCCTGCCAAGATTTTTAAAACAAATAGGTTATATACGTCACGCACACTGCCATACGTCAAAAATGTATTAGATTTTTGATTTGACATACGGAGTCATACTTTGCGCTAAGGGTAAACATCCAAAACGAGACTTAGGTATAAGTCTGACTTTAGTACGTCAAAAGTGTATAAATATCTCGTTTCTGAATCTCGCCCTTTGGAGGGAAAATTGGAGCATAATTTGTAGAAAAATGCTTTCTGCGAAACAAAATTTGCCGGGAACAATGTGTTGTAACGTTTACGAAAGAAACTTTAATGTCTGCTACCTACACGTAGGATGACTATATCATTATCACCATTGCCTTATATTCTCTTCAATTGACATTCCACCTACTTGAAATCGTAAAATATAATAAAACCTATATTAAGGTTAACTAGTTTGAAAGGAAATGGTTTTATAAATACTAAAACGGTGGGTAGGTAATGTGCCTAAGATAGTGATCCAAGGGCGGCTTAATATATTTTATTATTTATCTTTATTGTTACTACTGTACCGGTACTACATACTCTGTAAATTCCTATATCAAGTTGCACGCTGAAGTCACTAGGCACTAGGCCATCACTGCTCGGAGAAAAAAATATGGTTTAAATATTAGAAAAAAGACCAGACAGTAGGTACTCCATTCAATCAAATAGTGATACAAAAATAAAATATTATGTACGCTTTTCTCGGTTGAATAATAACTTTCTGCGATCACGCGATCTTGTATTGAATTTCAATTTCTTCCGTAGGTAATAAATGGTCTAGCGATCACATTTCCATAATTTTATTAGATACCCAACTTTGAATTTCTCGTGTCACAATGTTCCCATACTCCTCCGAAACGGCTCGACCGATTCTTATGAAATTTTTGTATGCATATTCAGTAAGTCTGAGAATCGGACAACATCTATTTTTCATCCCCCTAAATTTAAGGGTGGGGGAACCCCTAAAATTTGAACTTTTTAGAGAATTTTTTTGTATGATATAGCATACAAAATACATACCACCCTTAATTTTCACCCCTCTACGATCAACCCCTATTTTTATAAGAAATAGGAAGAACTAAAAAAATGTTTCCTAGAAATAATATACATGGCAAAACGACGTTTGCCGGGTCAGCTAGTAATATCTAGGTATAGGTACTAATATTATAAAGAGGAAAGGTTTGATTTTTTGTTTGTTTGAAATGAATAGGCTCCGAAACTACTGGACCGATTTCAAAAATTCTTTCACCGTTGGCAACCTACACTATTCCTAAGTGACATATTAGGCTATGTTTCATTTTCAAAAAAATTAGGGATGCTTACTAAAACTTGAATAATCTAACCCAAGGTGTAAAAAATAAACAAAAAACTTCCTTCAATCGTATGCGCTGCGAAAACTATTAATGATAGAACAAAATGATGTATTACAATTTTTCAGGACATATCACTATCTATAAAAAATGTCGCGACAGCATGTACGAATGTATGTATGTATAGTTACGTCACAATAAGCGTCCTTTTATTAATTTTTTTTTTATTAAAATACCACCGCTAGAAAAGGCTCTTTATTCGTACCTAGGTATTGATCTTTATCAAAATAATTACCAACGTTTCACATAAGCTACAATTTAATGGCATAACCACCATAAAATCATGGTGGATTGGTGTTCTCCTGCCATTTCTCTTGAATAGTTTACTTCTATGTAATATGTATAACAAAAATCTTAGCCACAGCAACGCTTGGACGAGTCCCGCCTACTCGTTTACCTCCTGTCCCATAAAAAACATCTCAATCGTAAATACGGCGTGAAAACCTATATTATAATGATTAAATCATTCAAAATCTGAGATTTTTTATAAATATATTTGACATAGATACATAATATGTTACTCGGGGATAATGTATATATTGGACATATAATGGATATTTCTTTTTCCTTACAAACACAAATTATTCCTCTTAATAGTATTAGTATATCGAGATAAATTGGTTAAGAAGCTGGCACTGATAATAACTAGCTTTAAATATGCTCTATGTTAATAATATAGTAAGGAATAGTCAGGTGGAACAGGTCTGAGTCAGATAAAATGAAAATGTATTAACAAAAATATTTATTATATTAAATATAGGATTTAATTTAACTTTGATTGAATTAACACTTAACATCACAGTCCCTAAAATTTTTACTTAATGATATAGTATTTTTTTTTAAAGTGGCATTTTATAATTTTTTACAACATAGATAATGAAATAATGATATGGATTTACCCATATTAACAAAACCAAATCAGTATATGGTATGTCAAATAGTGTTTACACTGTGACAAAAAGATACAGCTGAATACTTAAGCTAAAAAGTTCAATAAGTGCTGATATTTTATGGTATAAGGGTGATAGTCTCAACTACAGGTTGATTATATATATATCACAAGATTATGGATTACCAATATTTTGCATACAAATATGCATTTATAACTTCTCTGTTAAGGAACAATATGCAGTATTACAGATAAAAATATTATTAAATAGTATTCACTAGTATATTTTTCAAAAGTATTCACTGACTCATTGTTATATCACTTATTTATCACATACAAGCAAAACCCGCATTATAATTAAATACATATCATAAATATGATGTTTGTTTGTGTGGGTTTGCTTACAAAATTAAAATATTACTGGTAACTAGAATAGCAGTTATTAATCATGCATTTATTTTTTATTTAGGCATCTAAAGTTTTAGATTTGTATAAAAATGAACAAGACTTAAAATTAGTTTGCCAAAGAAGTTTCATTTCTGACATGTGTACTTTGTACACACACACTTTAATGTTAAATTTTGGTCATTGTAAAATTTAATTATCTGGTAGGTACCTGATAACATATTATTATACTAACATACTATATTGCACTACAGTATTTTTACTAATTGGCTTCATATATGAAAAAATATATCCAAAAATTATAGGTAATATACCTAATAATAAAACATATACATATTTATGTATTGGTGGAGTATGACCAAATGGATAAACCCAAAGACCTCGTCTATTACCATCTCTAATATGATGACTAGTATATGCTAATATTAACATATATGATAGAACATAGATATTTATTTTTCTATAAATATAGCTATAAATTAATAAAATAGTTGTTATAATGAACCATAAAGATGTGCAGTGTAGAAATCCTCTATGTTTTAGATTTGTTAAATCCTGAAAAGAAAAAAAAAACTATATTATTATTTTAAGACTACAGGTTAACCTCACCATTATGACAATCTTAATATGATATATTTAATACTTGTATGAAACAATGAAACAGTTTTTTCCTGTTATAGTTTAGCATTACAGACATTGTAAAATGAATTAATATAACAAATATCAATAGTAGTGCAAAAGCAATAAAATCTTAATAGTAACATAACATATTAGAGATGATAAAAGATAATATAGTTACATTAATTATTTTAAGAATGGATTAATAATAATTAATACTAATACTCCTTAATACAAGATAATTTTTTCACTTTAGCCAGTCCAGCATTAATGAATTTCCATTAAAGAATTAAGATAAACATTAGAATTGAACTACTTCATTTCATCAAAAGTAATGTGTAAAAAGCTTCAAACTAAGATTAAACAATTATAAAAAAATACCTTAAAATGCAAAGATTTTGCAACAATAAAATGGTCAACATCAATCAGTGATGATACTATAGTGCATAAAATTATATTATATATCCAAGCCTGTCTCGATATATCCACATTTATAAAGAATAATAATGCAGATAGTGTTCCAATACTGGCATGTACAAAATTATCGGTTACAGCGCGAAAGATGAAGAAGTCTGAATATTTTGAATGAGATACAATGTAATCTCCTGTAATTGCTGTAAAAACTATAGATACTGACAGTAAAACACTTAAAAATTTCATGTTTTAAGCGTTTAAGTAAAGTTTCACATGCTATTTTTTTATGAAATCACAGCGGTATTTTATCATGGCCTTAAAAATTTTGGCATTGTTAATAACTAACAAAAATTTAATGAATTAGACCATTGTTAAATTTTTAAATTGCTTTAATTTTGTTAAGGTCCAAACCACAGGTAGAAAGTTTCACACAAGGGTTGTTGTTATTTTGATTTTGAATTTGGTTTACCGACACTTGACAGATTTAGATTGACATTGTCAAGGTTGTGACAAGTAGCAGAGCCCAGACGTAGTAATTGAAATTTTATGAATGTCAACATGAAAAAAGTAAAACTACGATTAAGGTTATTGTTAGAACACGTATTAATTTTAGAAGAGTTAATTAAGAAAGTTTTACGATATCTTAAAACAGAAAATTTATTTTAAAAAGCATTAGTTTACGCGATTAATAAATACAAGTTTTAAGTGCAAACTATTTGGTGCTGGTTGTGGAGGCCTTGCGGTTATGGTCATAATATAAACTGTTTAACTCAGATTATAGAACAAAGATTTGTTCGTTAATCTGAGCTATTTAATTATATTATCTATCTCATCTGTACTAGTGTATAGTGTACACTGATTACCGTCAATGTTTAATTAATTTTAAACAACAAAATTAATCGATTAATGAAAATTTTTACTTACCTTACTGAATATTGCAGAATAAGAAATAATGGATAATAAATGTTCTAGGAATTAAAAAAGTCTTCAAAGTCATATTTAATTAGAAAAGATCCGTTTTCGGCTTGCTTTATCTTTTATATATATCCGTTATCGCTAATATAAAATTTTATGAGTAATAATTTTGAAGGTTAACTTTTCAGTGATAACTTCGTAGTTACACATGATATTAATAATTGTACGAAATATGTAGCAATAGTAATTTATAAAAAGTAATCAATATATTATATAACATTTTTACTAAATTTCAAGGTTACACCGGCAGCAATCGAAATTGAATTTTCATATAATTATTAATCGGATAATCTATACAAATATCGAATGCGTTCGTTACGTCCACCACGCCTTATTAGAGCGTCCATTTTATAAAGACCTCTCCAACCGAACACTTAGTACAAAACTTGAGGTTTATAACCCCGGTGGTGTTATCACCTTATCGAAAATCATCAGTGATAAGAATTTTCAGAATTTGATATCGAAGCCACAATACTAGGCAATGAGCATAACTATAGTTTAGTTTTATTCAGTGTTGTTCGTGAATTTTTGAATTTGTTAAAATGCGTGAAATCGTGCACGTTCAAGCCGGCCAGTGCGGAAATCAAATTGGATCTAAAGTAAGTAATTTATTAGTATATAAAATTATTGCGTCTTCAAACCCTGATTGCTTTATACCTAATTAACCAAATCTTGACTAAGTGGCTCTTAACCTCAATATAGAAAATATTGATTTGAGCATTGTTAATAAGTGAAGTGTTTGAATAACTCATAGTAGTTTATATCAAACCCAATGTAGAAAATAAATACATAGAAACAAATATAAATGTTTCTATTTAATCATAGTTACATACAAACTTGTCAATTAATTAACGAAGGAATATATAACTGCAATTTAAGGGGTAAGGTTAGTGGGGGACTGAACCGGGGTTTTTATATGATATTTTGGAAATATATAAATAGAAATTAATTTCCATTGGAAATTGGATCCTGAATCAAAATCTTCTATTTTCCAACCAAATTCTTTTCACTACGCTTACGATACACCAGAACTTTGGCCTTATTACGAAAAATAAGACGTTTTCGTGGTGTTCAAACAAAAACGCCGGGGCTGATAATATAGGCATGACAAATAATAATAAAGTTATATCATGCCTAAGTAATTTTGACAGATATTTGAAGTCGGTTTCTTTACTTAAATTAAATAATCATAATTTTACGCATTGTATCATATTTTACGAAAATTATATTCTTTTAACTGACATACTAAGAATCTGTTTGAAAGACACGTAATGACGTAAAATTTAACACTGCCTCAAATCCCACGACTCTAGACTATTTGAGTTTTATCGACAATTTCAATATAATTATACAATTTCGTTCATGAAGGTTTTTGTCAATTTCAGTTTTGGGAAGTCATCTCCCGTGAACACGCAATTGGTCCAGATGGAATGTACCATGGGACGCATCACATTCTCAAAGACCGTCTGAATGTATACTACAATGAGGCATCAAGTGGTAAGATATTATTACAACCAAAAACATTATTCAATAATAAATATTAAATTATATTTATTTATTTAAAAAATACAACAAGTTCACAATTTCTCCGTCGTAGTTTACAATGTTAAGGTGATAGGTGCGACAGTATTATTTACATTATTCATTATTTGAAGGTTGGCAACAAACAAAATTTTTTTTAAAATCAAAATCTAATCTATATAAATCAAATAATATATACTTCGAGTTCGTTTAGTGTGATATTTAGAGATAAAGATGAAAAAATGCAGGTCAATTCGCTGGCAAGGTTTTAAAGAACCATTTCTGATTATTTATTGGTGGTTAAAGAACCTATACGGATTGTGGCTTTAGATTAAACATTCATAATTTTAAGAATACAAAATGCAACTTTCAAATGTTAAGTTTTCACCATGTAACATTTAAATATGTTATATTCTTCTGTGCATATGTGTTAAATTACACAAATACACATTATATTGAGCAAAAAGAGTCTGTGATGGTATTAAGATTAACAGGTGAAGACCGCTAGTGTATTAGTAAAATTATTTTCAGGCAAGTACGTCCCTCGCGCTGTGCTGGTTGACCTGGAGCCAGGTACCATGGACTCTGTCCGTTCCGGGCCTTACGGACAGCTATTCCGACCGGACAACTTTGTCTTTGGTCAGAGTGGGGCAGGTAAATTTTTTTAAATATTATATAATAGAGCTGCTTTTAATTAAAAACAAATGTATAACTGAATCTAAAAAGATTAATATAAGAAGAATATAATTTTTCCTATATATTCTTTATACATATTCCAGAATTGGATTCCATATCTCTCACGAAAAAAATGAAACATACATTCCCTATGGAATAAGTGATTTCCAAATAATCGCGAACATACATACACATACGAAATGAAACACACGCATCATATAGGTCACACTGATACAAAACCAATTTCCATAATAATTTTAATAAAGATTAATTTACTAGCTGCCCCCATTTCGTTTGTACATACCAACATAAGAAACATTTAGCTGTGCTATAGAGACTGTTTGCTTTTCCGGAATAAAAAAAGTTAGTCCTAAGTTTAAAAAAAATTCCCTCCATAAAATCCTTCCTCAGAGTTCAAAAAATAAATTTAAATACTGGAATTGGTCCATCCGTCTTTAAGATTTGCAACATACATTGCGATTAATTTTCTATGTAAATAAGATTAAAATTGATACATTTGTTTTTATTTATTGATAGGTAACAACTGGGCCAAAGGACACTATACAGAAGGCGCTGAATTGGTCGATTCTGTGCTTGATGTCATCAGGAAGGAAGCTGAAGGATGCGACTGTCTCCAAGGTAATTTATAAATAAAAATACTTCTGAATATTCTTTTGATTGACTAGTAGAATGTTTATTTGTAATTTTCTAAGATAAAATCTTCTTAACCTACATACAAATATACTATTATTATCCTTCACCAAACACTGGCACCCTTTTGCACCCTGGTCACTTCACATTGCTATCAGCTTTCGCTTAGTGTACCCATAAGTGTCTGGGGCGTTGAAGCTTTAGACACCATGCCCTCCCTTGGCAAAAGAGTGCAGGTCGTTTTTCTCCCCGATCTATTAATAGAGTCAATATTACTAACCTACATAGTAATAATTAAACATATAAATGTAAACAATTTTAAAAAGTTTGGTCCCTGTGGCAGTGTACCTTTAATGCTGGCATTTCCTCGCTGTATTGCGATACTTATTCGTTAAGCGAGGAAAGCACCAGCTCTGGGGTCACCGGTACTATCTACCGGCCCAAGAGTACTTCAAAAGGAACAAAATCAGAGTTGGAGGAAAGAATTATATATTAGCTGTTTATTATCTTCCTTCTGAAAAAGATATATAGATCCTATTACACGTCTTACAATATTAGCTTTAGATTGCATTTTTATATGTGCCTCCTGTGCCTGCACACCACCCTATGAATCAATTATGAATGAACGAAAATAACCGGAATTTGAACGCGCCGTGCGTTGGCCTAGTGGCTTCAGCGTGGGAATCCCATCCCTGATGTCGTAGGTTCGATTCCTCGGCTGTGCACCAATGGACTTTCTATGTGCGCATTTAACACTATCTCGTACGGTGATATATGTCAGAGAAAAGGCTTATCACCTACTTTTCTCTGACATAAAAATGATCATAGCATGCTTTCTGAGGTCATCAACCATATAGAGTTGTAGCGCCACTGTATTATTATTTAATTAATTTAACTCAAACTATTCTACTTTATTGGCCATTCACCTCATCCATATTTTATTTATACCTTTTTGATTTGAATGGTTGCAGGTTTCCAGCTCGCCCACTCGTTGGGTGGAGGAACTGGCTCTGGTATGGGAACTCTACTCCTCAGCAAGATACGAGAGGAATTCCCTGATAGGATCATGACCACCTTCAGTGTTGTACCATCGCCAAAGGTAAGTAATAATATTTAGTGTATGGGTAAGTCCCATACATGATATTATGTCATTGGTATTTTTTTTTCATGTGTATTCTGTCAGTCAGAATGGTGGGAAAATGTTTCATTAAATAAGGAACTTTTTAATCAAACATTAAATTATTACATCAATACAATTTCGCATTAATATATCCATTATTCATTCTATATTAAAACAAACATAGGAACTCGACAGCCGGATAAACAAAGAACATAAAAATATAAGTAAAACATTAAGAAAAACATTCCCCAATCCGGCTGGTCCCCGTGGGGAATCAGACCAGAACCCTCTAGCAACAAACAAAAAACAAACAAGAGTCTTGAAAATTGGAACTTACAACGTGAGAACTTTAGCATCAACAGAAAAATTGATAGAACTTGTGCACTCACTGAAAAATATTCAAATAGATGTATTAGGATTAGTAGAAGTCAGAAAAATGGGATCTAATATAGAAGAACATCATGAACACATCCTCTGTTACATGGGAAACACACCTGGAATATATGGAGTTGGGTTTCTTATCAGTCGAAAACACAAAGCCAATATTATCGAGTTCACTGGTATATCTGAACGGGTAGCCCTGCTGCGCATGAAATTTGGAGAACACTGCATATCACTCATCCAAGTCTACGCACCAACCGAAGAAGCAGATGAAATTGAAATCAATAAATTCTATGAAGAACTTGAAAAAGCCCATGAAACAGCTGACAAAAATGTATTGATTTTAGGAGATTTCAATGCTAAGATTGGTCAACCCAAACATAAAGAAAAACTTATACTAGGCAATTATGGTTATGGCAAGCGTAACCAGAGAGGTGAAAGACTAATCCAATATGCCTTTGAACACAAGCTCTGTATAATGAACACTTACTTTAAGAAAAAACTTAGTCGTAGATGGACCTGGATTTCGCCTAATGGACAAACAAAAAATGAAATAGATTTTATAATGAGTAATCACCCCAAGTGCATAATGAACATGGAAATTATAAATAAAATAGATTTTCCATCTGACCATCGATTAGTCAGAGCCTCTGTAATACTGACAACACCAACTTTATCAAGAAAGAAATTTGTAATGTTACCAAAATCTCCTGAAACCGACAATGAAAAATCAGAGTATTTGAAGAACCTAAGTGATAATATTAATACCCGCCTTAAAGAGATATATAATAATAATGATGTTCAAACTTACTATGACGCCCTAGAATTAATAATTAAACAAAGCCTAAAAATAGATAAAGACCACAAAACAAATAAAATAATTAGCAAATCTACTCAAAAACTAATAAATGAACGCTCAATTTTAATCAAACAAAAAATTAAAAACAAGGAAGATAAGATCAAACTTAAGAATTTATTCAAAGCAACAAATAAAGCCATAAGAAAAGATTATAAAAACCACAGAAAACATATTTTAGAAAAAAACCTAAAGCAATATCGAAGTACGAAGAGGGGGCTTAAGGAGCTAAACACACACAAAAATTGGATAACAAAACTAGAAAATGGACACAGAGAAATGAAAACTAGAAAAGGAATCATGGAGTGCGCTACTGAATTCTATAGAAACCTCTACGAACATCAGGATGACAGAGCAGTTGGCCCAACCACCAAGAATTCTGAGGAAATACTACAAGCCATTGATGAACAAGACGTACATAAATATATTTGCAAACTAAAACCTGACAAAAGTCCAGGACCTGACTATATAACTAATGAGGCCATAAAAATCGGAGCACCAATACTAACTAGTATCATAACAAAATTATTTAACATAGTGCTGGAACAAGGCTATGTCCCTACACAGTGGTGCCACTCAGACATTGTGTTACTATACAAAAAAGGAAACCCGTTGGATATTGGTAACTATAGACCAATTAGTTTGATACCTACCATCTATAAGCTATTCTCATCAGTCCTACTTAGTCGAATAACAACAACAATTGATAACAACCAACCAATGGAGCAGGCAGGATTTCGTTCAGGTTTCTCAACTGTGGACCACATCCATGCTTTAGAACAACTTATAGAGAAATATAAGGAATTCAATAGACCACTCTATATAGCTTTTGTGGACTATTCCAAAGCGTTCGATAGCATAACACACACATCTATATGGCAGACATTGGAAAAAAATAAAGTGGAAGATAGATATATACAAATCATTAAAGACCTATATTCTAAAAGCACAAGTAGAATAAAACTAGAAACGAAAGGTGCAGAGTTTCCCATTAGACGGGGCGTAAGACAGGGTGATCCTCTGTCCCCAAAACTATTTATAGCAGTCCTAGAAAGTGTCTTTCAAAATATTGATTGGGGAAGCAGGGGCATACCGTTAATAAATCAGCACCTAACACATCTCAGATTCGCAGATGACATAGCTATTTTTAGTGAAACTGCATCAGCGCTGGAAAAAATGCTGCAAATCCTGGATGTGGAAAGTAAAAAAGTAGGTCTGAGTATGAACCCCAACAAAACTAAAATCATGTCAAATAGCCTGCACAAACCTATAAAAGTAAATGACAAAATAATAGAGTATGTAGAGTCATATATCTATCTAGGGAAGCAGGTATCGTTTGACACCACCAACAATGACAAGGAAATTTGCAGGAGAATAAACATTACCTGGAACAGGTACTGGTCACATAAGGAGATTCTGAAAGGAAATTACAGTTCAGAATACAAAAAGATTGTAATGGACACTTGCCTACTACCATGCCTAACATATGCATGCCAAACATGGGTATTTGATAACAAAACCAAAAGTAAAGTAAGGTCATGTCAGAGAGCAATGGAGCGCAGTATGCTAAAATTAAAAAGGATACACAAAATCAGACACAAAACAATAAGAGAAAGAACTGAAGTTACAGATGCCTTAAAGCATGCACTGAAGCTAAAATGGAAATGGGCAGGACATATATCTCGCTTGAAAGATGATAGATGGACACTTACAGCTACTAAATGGCTAGGTCCAAGGGGAAAAAGGAGAGTTGGCAGACCTCAGAAACGCTGGGTCGATGACATTGTCCATGTTGCCGGAAAAGAATGGATGATCAGGGGTCAGGACAGAGAGGATTGGAAGCGGCTAGAGGAGGCCTATACCCAAGATAGGGATCCATACCTAGGAAAATAAAATATGGTACTAATAATACTAACATTTATTTCAATATTAAATTACTAAATAATATTACATATACTGTATTACTAACCACATTAACACAAAATTTTTAGTTTAGTTGTATTAGCATGTAATGTAAATGGTATGGAACGAAATAAAGGCTTTATTATTATTATTATTATTATATCCATTATTAAATAGATTTCATCCAAAAATAAATTTGGAGAACAATAGTTATTATTAATAAAGTCAGAGTGAAATTCTTTACTTCAATTAGGTCTATTAAAATTTAAAAGTCACAAGTTTAAAATATTATTAAAAAATTACTCTAGTTTCCCCTTCCAAAAGGTAGTTTCATATGGAGAAGAATCGGCAAGAAACTCCATATTTACTCTTTTAAAATAGTTTTTACAGTATTTTGTATACATTGATTTGATAATTATATGTGAAGACCATGTACCTAAGTTTTGCAATATTTTTTGTAAGGATTCTATGTCTTGCTAGTTGTAATATTTATAATAGGTAGGTGATTTTTAGTTCTGTCGCATTAATAGGTATAAAGATAGAATAATTCAGGAAATAAGAGTTTAGAGTTCAAACAAATAATTGCATGTTCCCTCCTAAATAAGCAAAATTTTATGTTTCTCTCTTCTGGTAATTTTGATTTCCGTTCCCATGAAAATCTAAATCTTGAAACTCAAACAAACAACTGAATTATATCACTAATTTATGGTGCAAAGTATCCAGGTTTGGAACTTCTTACCTCATAAAATCAGACAAGCGTTGTCTGTAAATTAATTTAACAATCTTCTTAAGAACTTCTCTTGCTACCTCGTAACTAGCTGCATATTATAACTATAGGATTAGCCTTTACTGTTTTTGAGATTTTAGTGTAGCATTGTATAATTCTAGTGTTACTTGTAGTAGTTAAGTATGGAAAATTACATACTTGTCTTAAAGAAGGCAGTTCGTTGCCTAATAAGTTATGTATACTGTTTCTTATGTATGTATAGTAAGGAAGTCTAAATAAATAATAAATCTTCATCTATAGAAAGAAATCATTTATTAAATTCATGCCGCTACCAAACAAACAGAATCTACCAGGCAGACTTCCTCCATTCAAATGGGTAATAGGACTTCTAAAACACATTAACCATCCATCCCCATCTGTTGCTGGCGTTTTCACGAGGTGAAAACTCGCTCGCGCAGTCCTGTGCCACTGACTTGAAATAGGGACTGTTGAGTTATGTTTATACTCACTTTGCTAGTTAGCATTGCCCCTTTTTCCCACTTCTCTACTGCTTCGTTTAAGAATAAGTTATACTTGACGCTGGCTAATGCACAAACCGTGCCAGAGCCATAAAGGAAAAAAAAAAAAGAATAAGTTAAAACACTTAATGTCTTAATCTTCCTTGTTTTTTTTATATAGCTGCTAGTTTGTTTGTCGTTCTCCTAATTTAAATATACAATACAAAGTAAAACTTTTTTGTGGATATGTATGTTTACCAGTGAAACTTTTTTGTGGATATGTCCAATGTGTTTATTTTATGTTTTACTTTTATTTTATTTACTGTATAGAGATGTATCTGTTTACTTTCCTTAATAAATAAATAGCAGGATCCACTACCACACCTTCACTCTTAAGTTGTCCCACAGGGTTCAACACTAGAACCTTCCTCCTTGCCTAGACCGTCACAATTTAAAAGCTAACAAAATCTATTTAAAGGTATCCGAAGTGGTCCTAGAGCCATACAATGCGACACTCTCCGTACACCAACTGGTTGAAAACACGGATATGACGTTCTGTATCGACAATGAAGCTCTCTACAACATCTGCTTCAGGACTTTGAGATTGAGCAGTCCGACGTATGGAGATCTCAATCATTTGATATCGGTAAGTCAATTATTAATCTATTTTATTTATTTATTCAGAAGATTTACAGCACAATATAGAAATAGATGTATATCTAATATATAAAATTCTCGTGTCGCGGTGTTTGTGGTTAAACTCCTCCTAAACGGCTCGACCGATTCTCATGAAATTTTGTGTGCATATTGGGTATGTCTGAGAATCGGACAACATCTATTTTTCATCCCCCTAAATGTTAAGGGTAGTCCATAGGTAGCCTTAAAATTTTTAATTTATAGATATTTTTTTTATGATACAGCAAAAAAATACATACAACCCCTAACTTTCACCCCTCTACGATCAACCCCTATTTTTTTATTATAAATGATATACACGGCAAAACGACGTTTGCCGGTCAGCTAGTATATATATATCATTAATGGGCCAATTAAAAATCTTCACATATAGTTTTTTTATATAAAAAAAGAAGGTAAACATTCCAAATATGTAGGTTGTAAAACAAAAAAGAAAAAACAGAATTTAATTAGTTGACAATGAAAGGTTATAAATGTACTTCATTCATGATCGAAATAATTTTGTGTCAAAGCTTTCCTTGCTGTCACCACATTCGTGGCGAACATATCAATATCAATAGTTAACTCATTAAATTTGTTCGCTGCTCTGAGATCTAAGCCAGATTCTCCCAATATCAGCCTTGAGTTAACACTTAGGTCCAATTAAGATCCATATTCTAAATCGTATATGAAGTCCCAATGTAGTCTTGAGCGCTGTCAAAAGTGTCAAAATTGCAGAAGAAATGGTTTGAGCTCTAGAAACTTTTTTTTTGACGTTCTAGGCTTCGACTAAGAGTCGAAGGGTAGACAAGCACGAATGATTTCAAATATTGTTAGAATTTACTTATAGATAAATTATAGTAGTAATATGCTAGTCGCCTGGTTGAAATGGACTCCTGGTGAAAGCTTCCAACCCTCTCCAGGTGACTCTTTGCCAATAGATTCTATAATTTATTTAAACCATATTTTAGTACACAATGTCGGGTGTGACTACAAGTCTTCGTTTCCCGGGTCAATTGAACGCTGATTTGCGCAAATTGGCTGTCAATATGGTTCCATTCCCGCGACTTCACTTCTTCATGCCGGGTGAGTAAACTACATTTAATAAAACCAGGGGCGTTATAATTTCTAGGTCGTCGTTTGGGATTTCTGTATGTTTTTCTATAGGTGATCAGCCGACGGTGTCTGTTATTTACGTAGAATGGAAAATGCTACTGACGCATAGCCGTGAAATTCAGCATTGTGGTTGTTAACTCGCTCATACCGTAAAGGAAGTCGTGAGGAAACCGGCATGATCCAAAAGGTGTTTCACTTCGATAGATTACAATCTACCCAATAATAATACGTTAAATTGTAAGCAGTACGTTGAGTTCACAATCTTTCGACAGTTTATAATCTCGCGAGATAGATTACAATCTAACGGTGTTTACAATTTTACGGTGACACATATATATATATATATATATAAATTATTGTAATTAGTTAATTTTTTTTAAGGTTCTATAACGAAAACAGAGTTTACACTGTAATTTAAAAAACATATGAATATTATTATAATTATTTATTTATAGGCTTCGCACCCCTCACAGCGAGGAATGCATTCAACTTCAGAGCGCAAAACGTTGCGGAACTATTGTCGCAGGTAAGGTATCATCAATTATTTATACGAGAAAAGAAAATGTTAACAATTATGTGCAATTTTTCATTTTTAACTGTACAGGGTGTTTGTTAGCTTGGTTATTTATATACTCCAGCCGTAAAACCAATAAAACTAATTTAAAAAGGTCAAACTAATTTTAACGTAGAAATAGGAAATATATATTTAAAAAATGAAGAAACAGGAGATTTCAAACACTGTAAAATATTGCCCATATCAGAAAAAGTTAATAAATGTCTTCTAATCGAGCACTTTTTTCGAGAAGACATAAAAAAACGAGTGGAGCATGACGTACAGACCCGAGCGGTAACGGTTGTCGGTAAGTTCGGCTCTGTACATCGAGGGCAAACAACGTATACGGCGAGAGAACGTTGAGGTATTTGCTACCGCGGCTAATAAATGGTCTACCCAATCAGATTTTAGATTGCCTAACGCCAACCAACATAAAAAGTAAATTAAAAAACTACTTTTATACGCATTTGTCGCGCTCCTAAACAAGACTGCTATGGTTACATTTATACAAACCACAGCGGTTTTCTAATGTAACATATTATGATTGTATTATATTATTTTGTAAAATAAAGGAATAAACAAAAAAAAAACACATCTACAGAAATGCGTAGATTATCTCAAAAACTACAGACCCAATCTTGCAATATATCAGATTCAAATCAGAAGTCGGGAAAGTCTTGAGATTACTTTTGGATTTCGAGAAATTTAGGAACAAGTTAGAAACCTAAATAGACTAACGCCCAAATACGATTATTATTGCAAATAAGAAATATTGACGATGTGAACAATGCTCTATCTTCGACTGTCCATTGGTTTAGTTGAATAACCTTCTACTTAATGCAAAAAAGACAAAATGCATTAAATTTTGTGGAAAAAATGCAAGGGTTATGGATACTAGACCAATTATAAACGGTGAGGAATTGAATCTGGATGATACACCTGTATTTCTCGGAATCACCATGGATTCAAAACTTCAGTGGTCCCCTCATATTAACGGATTGGCGAAGAGACTTAGTTCTGCAGCCTACGCGGTTAAAAAAATTCGCTCACTAACTGATGTCGATACAGCTAGACTTGTTTATTTTAGTTACTTTCATAGCTTAATGACTTATGGCTTATTATTATGGGGTCACCATGCTGCTGATGTCGAAACTATTTTCATCCTGCAGAAGAGGGCTATTCATGCAATCTATAATTTAAAATGTAGGGAATCTCTTAGAGATAAATTCAAGGAAATTAATATACTTACCTTTCCCTCACAATATACGAGGGGAGGTCCAAAAGTTCGTGGAATGAAAGGGTTTTAGTAAAAATGAAACAGTAAATTTATTTTTCCTTTTCAATATAATCACCCTTAAGCTGAATACATTTATTAGATCTATGAATTAATTTTTCTAAACCATCGTAAAAATATTTTTTATCTTTTCCCTCAAAATGAGCCAAAATTGCCTCCTTTACCTCATTGTTGTCGGAAAATTTCCTTCCCCTTAAGTCTTTTTTTTAAATTGGGGAACAAATAAAAATCACTTGGGGCCAGATCTGGACTATAGGGTGGGTGGACTAGTGATTCGAAGCCATGCGTGTGTAGAGCAGCCATTGCAACTTTGCTCTTGTGAACCGGCGCGTTGTCTTGCAAGAGCAACACACCCTTGGTCAATTTTCCCCGACGTTTTTCTTTGATGGCATCCTTTAATTTTTCTAGTATTGTTGCGTAGTATTCTCCGGTTATGGTCCTGCCCTTTTCTTTATAATCAATCAGTATTATCCCCTCACAATCCCAAAAAACAGTAGCCATCAACTTTCCGGCCGACAGCCGACACTTTGAATTTCTTTGGCGGTGGTGTCCCCTTTTTATGCCATTGCATGGACTCTTGTTTGGACTCAGGCTCGAAGTGATGAACCCATGTTTCATCGCCGGTAACAATTCGCTCCAAAATCGATTCAGGATCGTCGCTACACAACTCCATAAAATGTTTTGACGCTTCGACGCGCTGCTGTTTTTGAAGCGGCGTGAGCATTCTCGGTACCCGTCTTGCACTGACTTTTGTCATACCCAGGTGGTCATGTAGGATTCGCAAAATTGTGGTATCTGATACTCCAACTAATGCAGATAACTGTTTTTTCTTCAAACGGGTGTCCTCCAGTACAATTTTTTTCCACTTTTTCGACGATGTCTGATGTGGTGGCCTCAACTGGCCTTCCTGAGCGGGGGTCGTCTTCAATCGACTCCTGACCATGTTTAAAAAGACCATGCCATTTGTAAATCATTGATTTACTAGGGCACTGTTCCCCGTAAACAGTTTCCATTTCATTCAAAATGGTCTGAGCGTTCTTTCCTTGCTTGGTAAGGAATTTAATGACAGCACGGTGTTCAATTTTCTCCATAGTTTCAGTTTTCTTCCGGATTGACGTGTTTAGCAGGCGAGTGTTCGTAAACGAATGACGCAATAGGGCTGAAACTCCATTTATATACTAATTATGAGTCCCCAATTAGTATGACACTAAGCGAGCGCCCCTATCCCCACTCCATCCCCTCCATTCCACGAACTTTTGGACCTCCCCTCGTATTTATGAAAATATTATGTATGTATACAATATTATGTAAGTTTACTAGAATAGAAAATACGCACAATGTTAATACATGGAACAAACGTAGGCTGCAATTTCCCCGTACTAGACTATCTAAAGTAAGTAATTCTTTTTTGGGAAAAGGGATACTCTTCTTTAATAAAATCCCAGAGGCTCTTTTATCTCTGCCTTTTAATAAATTTAAGAAATGTATTAAAAAAAAGCTGTGTAAAAAGGCTTACTATAAAGTCAACGATTATCTAGTTGATAAAAGGGCCTGGGACTAGTGCTAGACAGGCTACTTCTAATTAATTTGCGATATTTGTTTTAAAATAAGTGTTGTTTGAGAGTTTTTTACGCCGGGTTTTTCTATCGGCCTACACCCTCAGCCTTCTTTGCCGATGAGTAGTGATGCCTACAGATTCAAATTTAATGACGTGGAATAAGTGATACATGTATCTTATGTTCCATAATAAACATATTTTATTTTATTGAATTCAAACGATTATATCCCAATAACAACAAGAACCTGACTTCCAATACGCGATATAACTTTCAAAAAGAAAGAAAAAAAATTTGACTGTCAAAAAATTTCCCGAAAATGTTTTAAAACAGTCGAAAATTATTTCAGATGTTCAACCCGGGCAATATGATGACAGCGTGTGACCCTCGTCACGGTCGTTATCTGACAGTGGCCACCATGTTCAGAGGTATCATGTCCATGAGGGAGGTGGATGAACAGATTCTGGCCATTCAGAATAAGAACTCCAGGTATTTACAAGATGAGAATACATTTTTGTGGTCCTTCGAGCCGGATTATATTAATTTAAAAGATTTTGTTAATTAATTTGTATACATTTTATTTAGACTAATTCGCATACAAGAGACGGTTAATCAATCTAATGCCATGCGCGAGCTTATCGCCAACAAATGATCTCTTCCAACCAATTGCAGAAAAGAGAAAAACCTGTAACATATATTATAGATCTAAAAAGTGCTTTTTGTGAATTTTCAGTTACTTCGTAGAATGGATTCCCAACAATATGAAAGTATCAGTTTGTGACGTACCACCAGAGGGATTAAAGATGGCCGCCACCTTCATAGGAAACACTACAGCCATTCAAGAGGTATTCAAACGAATCTTGGAGCAGTTCACTGCTATGTTCAGAAGACGGGTAAGAACAAAATATATAATTAAAAATCAATAAAAAAGTAAAAATTTATACACCTTGTTAAAAGTGATTATATCAATAATCTTTATACATAAAGAAAAGACATAACTAAAGAACGGCTGGACCGATTTTCATGGATTTTGAATTATTGCATTTGTCTCTGTCTCGAATAAATAACGAAATAATTAAAAACATTGTGATAACGAAAAAAAATCCAATACAAAATGTTCAAACTATTGGAATTACTCACACATTTGTATATACAAATTGTTGATGTGTCAAACGCCGTCATTTTTGACATAACGAAATTTTGACGTATTTGAAATTGGTTCCAGGCCTTCCTCCATTGGTACACGGGCGAGGGTATGGACGAGATGGAGTTCACCGAGGCATCCAGCAACATGTTCGATTTAATATCCGAATATCAGCAGTACCAGGTAAAGCTATTTAAACATAAAGGCTTCTAAAGCTGGCCATAGACGGACCGCATGTTCCAGCCGAGAGCGGTCACCGCATGGCGATCTGCAGTTTCCCTACTAAATTCATATCCGCAATACATGAACCGCTCGAGCAGTTCCTGAGCGGTCGGAGCAGTCGCTCTGCGGTCGAGTTTCGCCGTGCGGTCGACTGCTTAGAGCTGCTGGAGCCACCATACACGGACCGCTACAAGCGGTTGCTGCCGACCGCACGCCACTACCTCAAATAAAATAAATAAATTGTGCGTGTACTAGGTGTACACACGTAAGAAGTGAAACTTCTTTATGATCTTATTTTTCGAAAAATGATCTAAGATATGCAACTTTACAGAAATTCGTTAAATTAGATAAAGTTTAACAAAAGGCTTTTATTATCATAGACATGAATACAAATATTTCATTTTACCTTATTACTACGAAGATTATTATAGAATTTCAATAATTGTAATAGAATTATTACTATCATTGAAAAACGTGACGATTTGCTACAAAATTTCTCCCATACGTCGATAAAGAAGTTTGACTTCAAAAAGCAACATGGCGCGTAACCGAAAAATGTGACGCGTAACGAAAAAATGTTACACTAAATTTTTTTCCAACCTCGATAAAGAAGTTTCACATCAATAAAATACTAATTCATCAAATGAAACCACGGACATTCTAAAGTAATTGAAAAACTTTTTAGTGTCTTCTCTCAGCTGGGGATACAAAGTATTAAATATTCCATGCTGTTCTCTTCATTGTACGCCTACGCTTGCGTAATAATAGTACAAGTAGCAGTGTTTCTTCATCGAAATCCATCTTGTAAATGAACTCGCATCAGTATTATTTTGCGGTCGAACACAACTGCTCCAAGCAGTCGTAGTCTCTACAGCAGTCGGTCTTGACTGCAACATGCGGTCCGTCTATGGCCAGCTTAAGCGATCTCTTCCAGGCAACTGATAAAATAAACATCTAGCAATGCTATAATTCTAGTCAAATAATTTATGGAGCAATATTTGAGTTTATTCGTAACAAGAGACGAAATGTTTATGCAAATTGAAAGGAAAGAGAGCAGAGAAGAGAAAGAGTAAGGCATCAGCGTGCTCTCTTCTCTGAGGTTGTACGTTCGAACCCCGGCTCCTAATAGACTTTCTATGGGCATTTACTCATACGCTGAAGAAAATCGTGAGGAAGACGGCACGCCTTTGTCTTAACGCGTGTGTCAGGCACAGAACGCTGACCTACTGGCAAAAAAAAAACAAATGATGAAATAGATACAGAAATCTGAGGCCCAGACCTAAAAAAGGTTGTAGCGTTTTATTCATAACAAAATACAATTTATTCCTCTTTGTATTTATAATGTACGGTTCAAATTAAACTTAAACTAAAGTTTAGAACGATCAAGAATTGTCAAAAAACGTTCTTCACTCTAAATTCTCTTTTCGAGTTTTGAACTTCAAAAATATCGAAGTAAAAATGTAAGAAAAAACATATATTATTTACGTAAACCTATAAGAAAACTTTTCTATTTGCATTTGGATCATGTCGAAATCAATTCGACGCCATTAAATACTCATATTTTATTAATAATAATTACGTTGTGTTAAAAAAAAGGGTGCGTGTACGCGCGTAAGAAGTTACACTTCTTTGGCATTATTAAAAATAGTTTTTGATTGCATGCAAATAATTAATCACAATTAAATAATCAAAGACTGAAAAAGGAGTCATTATAGTAAATAAAGTTCAGTTTACATTTGAAAAATTAAATAAATAAATATTTATTATTATCTCTTACATTAAGTGTCCAATGCCGTAGCATCTTCCGTGGGCAACTTCATTCTGTTAATTTTGTGTCACGGTGCGCGCGCATCATAAAATTTCACTCTCATAAATTTTTCATAACGCGCCTAAAGAAGTATAACTTCAAAAACTTACACAAATATATTTTTAGGTCGCTGAAATAGATGACGAGGAATTGGAGTTGGAAGACGAAGAAATCGACACCGACATACCGGTCCAGTTGGATCATTAATCATTAAGCCGTAATCATTATATTACTAATATGTATGAAAGCGTATTTGTTAGAATATATATGCTTGCTTCAGTAAGAGCACGAAAATAAAAATGCTTTTATGCGATTCCTTTTTAACCGTGTAACGGAACGTTATTTGGTATTAATATTAAGAATTGTTATCGGGGTTACCCTCTACAGTGATTTCGTTTTAATTTTTGATTTCATACTTAATCGGTTTTAGACATCACTGTTATATTTTTGACAATGTATTTGGATAATTCAGCAATTTATTCACATATTTGTACCTAGTTCAGCATTTGTAAACTGTTCCGCACTTCAATACTCTTAAGCTAAAGTTTAATTTTAAGTTTTTATCGTTTTACCAAACGTTTTAATAAACAATTTTTATTTCTTAATTGTGTTTTTATGACCTATACCTAATTATTAAGAATTTTAATGGTTCTTATCCTTTACAATTGAGCGAGTAGAGAGCAAGGTTGGCCTAGTGGCTTCAGCGTGCGACTCTCATACCTGAGGTCGTAGGTTCGATCCCCGGTTGTGCACCAATGGACTTTCTTTCTTTTTGCGCATTAAACATTTGCTCGAACGGTAAAGGAAAACATCGTGAAGAAACCGACATGTCTTAGACCCAAAAAGTCGACGGCGTTTGTCAGGCACTGGAGGCTGATCACCTACTTGCCTATTAGGTTTCAAAATGATCAGGAAACAGATTCAGAAATCTGAGGCCAAGACGCAAGATGTCGTAGCACCAAGCCTTATAACGTACCTTGGCAACTCTATCTTTCTTATTTTACAAAAATATCTAATATATAAAATTCTCGTGTCGCGGTGTTTGTGGTTAAACTTCTCCGAAACGGCTCGACCGATTCACATGAAATTTTGTGTACATATTGGGTATGTCTGAGAATCGGACAACATCTATTTTTCATCCCCCTAAATGTTAAGGGTAGTCCACCCCTAAATATTTTTTTTAGATATTTTTTTCTGTTTTTATTTTTTTATGATACAGCATTAAAAAAATACATACAACCCCTAACTTTCACCCCTCTACGATCAACCCCTATTTTGTTATTATAAATGATATACATGGCAAAACGACGTAAGCCCGGTCAGCTAGTACATTTATAGTATTTAGATCAAAACACTCTCCGACGAAAGTAAACCAAGATGGTATTAGGATTAGACAGGAGTAATGTAACCTAACATTAGTTAAGTTACATATATATATATATATAAATTAATAACTGGAAGCGTAAACAAAATGTAGCTTTTTCCACCCTCATAAATTGTAATACAACATTCTTGTTTCCGATAATGTCCAAAAAGGTCGACTGTACTTGCATTGAAGTGTCACTTAGATTTATGAACCCTTAAATAAGTTAGTTTTTGTTAGCATCACAACCTTTACCTAATTCTATGTTAGTTATAAGCTCATATTTTAAACGTTAAGCTTCAACATGTTTCATTAACCATATATCTGAACATATCTTTTTTTTTTTTCTCCGTGGGGAAATGCGTTACGCATACCCTCCCGCGGCATGGTTGACCTGGGGAAGGGTGATGTGGGACTCGCTGTTGTGCATACCCACAAAAACCCCACGGCGCCACCAGCAATCGCCCGGGGCAGGACACGGTAACAGCGTAGTCTTGTCCGCATCCAGCCACGCGATCAACCGTTAATATTACGGTCCTCTACGGCCACGAATGATGTGGAATGGACCTTGGCACAGCAAGGGCCTTTCACATCGGCCAATTCATCCTGTTTTATAGAGCTGGGGGAGGCCGGGTACAATGCTTGCAGCCCTTCTTATATCTGAACATATCTACAACAACCGCCACCCAAACAAACAAAACAAAGACATTATTTACTGACATGGTACGTCGTCGATTCGACAAATCTGTGCCCGCTTTGTATCACGTGACTGATGTATAAAATGAAATACCTTTAATTATGTTGTTTGTGATAAATTGATTATTTCCGAGTTATTTTACTCCAGAACACTTTTTAAAGCCATGTTTTATACAATATAAATAACAATTTATTTTTGATACTATTATAAGCCTATTTTGTACCAAATCATTCGAGTTGACCTGTATTAGTGTACCTGTAATAATTATTTCCTGTGCTGATTTTTTAAACATACTTACTCAAACGTTTCTTTAGTCACACCTCCGCCAACCAGCTTGAGTCACACGATGGCCTGCTTTTAATTAGATCATATTTCAAAATAACAGGACAGATTAACGGATGCAGACTGATGCGTGCATACTTCGTAGTAATACTTTCTAAGGTTTCATGAGAAATGAAAAACGAAATATAATACAAAATTTTATTTAGTCATTTAAATATTAGCCGTTAAATAAAATACTGTTTTCTCTACATATAAGCATTGTACAAAGTTTAAATATAACCAGGGGTATACCAAACGAATTTGTATGACAATGGTCACGTGACAAAACGTGAGCTAATGTCATTTGTTTGGCGGTAGTGAGTCACGCCTGTTATATAATATGATCTCAAGCTGTAAACTTACTCCGTAGCCTTACTATTACGGCATCTTTTTATTAAGCGGCCTTTATTCGTACATATATACTAATTCATGACTGCAAGATGAAGATTAAGTTAAAGTATATTAGTTGCTTGCTTTAAATCGTGTCGACAGACAGTTGCACATACATTTTCAGGTTATGAAAAGGCCGGTTGATAAATATTGACATATTTGTTGCCTTTACAGAGTAGCGTGACAAGTAACTGGCTTTTTAACGAATAGGATAAATATTTTTTTGTAGAAATAGTAAAAACCAGGAACGGGGCCGGATTAAGAGGTCTGGAGGCCTCGGGGCAATAAAGGAGTGGAGGCCCCAAATTATTTCCAATCGAGTTATTCATTCAATATTTTTTTGTGAAGATTCTTTAAGTATTTAACAAACGTAAAAATATATAAAAATAAATGTTGTTTACCAGGGTTTACTAGCCGGAATTTAAAAAAAAATCCGAAGTCTCTTTTGCGGTTGCCCTCCCTAGGCAACAGAAGACTAGAGTGTTTCCTAATAGAAAACTTAAGAAAAGTCCCGCAAAACACTTTTATAGATAAAATCGTATTTTTTAAAACCATCGCACTTTCACTCACAAATGTCAAACAATAATTATAATAACAGTACTTCCAAAATCAGATAGGCACAAGAGATATTATAGTTTTAATACAAAAGAGAAAAATATCTATTTTTGTATACATTTTTATTCTGGTTCGCGATTTTGAGCGATTTACGTCGATATTTAAAAATTGCGGGATAAAATGTAAGAGCTGCAATGCCTAACAAACGGCGCATTTCGCTTGTTTGTGATTGGTCAAACGGAGCAACGAATGGTGTGTTGACTAGAGATGCCGTTGACCAATTACAATTAAGCGAAACGCGTCATCATATTGTAGTTCGCGTTGCGCGTTCCAAATAAAAACCTACATATATTAAATTAAATATTGATAATGCACATCTCGAAAATTAATCAATAAAGCTTTTTATAAATTTGAGGAATACTTAAATGATCTTAATCCTTGGGATTGATTTGCTGCAGTTCAAACAATTTGTATGACAATACTTGGCGATTAAAAAGAGTGGCGGAAAGTTTCTTGCCAGTTCTTCTTACCCGCTCTACGCCCTTGACTTGCGAACTGGTAGTAAATGTAAATTTACAATTAATTTAACTTCTTTGTGACAATTAAAAAGTGTACTTCTTTACCTACATGAATAAAGATATTTTGAGTTTGAAACAAACTGGCTAGAAATAGTTACCATAGAAAGATTGAACATAAATTTGCGGGTAATAACAAAATACCAGCCTTACCAACTTATGTAGCCTGCTTTTTTATTTTTTTTATATGTATAAGGTAATAAAGTGTAAATAAATAAAAAAATTAAATAATAAAGGCCGGTTAATAATACATTTTGATACAATTGACTGTCAATTTTGGATTCATACGATGTTCACCTTATGTTAATTGGCTTATCAGCTTAGCGTGCCAATTCTTAATTCCCAGTTCAAAAAGTAAACCGTAAAGTTTACTTTTCCGTGCCCGATGTTGCAAGGTTATTAAATTTTGATCAGTTGTCAAGTATGTTCTCTTAAATTGGTTATATAAAAATAGCTTAAGTTAAAAATGGCATGACCAAATTAAAAGCGAAAACATACCACGAAGAACAAAAGTTATAGATGCCTTACATCATGCCCTAAAACAGAAGTGGCAATGGGCGGGGCATATAGCAAGATACAGATAATAGGTGGACCTTAAAGACAACTGTATGGAAAGGGCCAAGAGGAAGAAGGAGAAGAGGTCGCCCAAAAAAAAGGTGGAAGGAAATAGAAGCGGTAGCAGGAAACGAATGGAGAAAGAGAGCCATAGACAGAGTCAGTTGGAAAAAGCTGGAGGAGGCCTTTACCCGTGAAGGGGTTCCGATCGACGGTACCGAATGAAGCTAGAATATAGAATAACAAGCAAAAGAAAATAAAATGTATAAAAATGTAAAATAATCTATATTATATATTTCTATAATTAGTTTTTTTGTCATGATTGGAAATAAAACGGGCTTTATTATTATTATTATGTTAAAAATGAGTCAAAAGTCCAAATACTGCCTCAAATAATTCAATAATATTAAATAATACGTTTATAGTAATAGAGAAATAGCTACAAAAATATTGAGATCAGTCCAATTTGATTAGTAGTACAGCGAGATTAAAGCTTAAATATCAATAATTTACTTAAACTTAAATTAAAACACTAGTTTCACTAAGTTTGCCTGAAATATTTTAGTTATCATACGATCGGTTAGTACATTGTACATTGATGTAGACAATCTAAATTTAATTTAACAATTTTCCAAAAATCTTTGTCAAGTTGTTCAGCGTTTCATCATCGTACGTAGAGGCAGAATACGAAATAAGAAGTATCACCTCAACGACCGTCGTTCCACAACGGAGCGTTTTTAATTTAAGAAGTATTGCCGAACCAATTCGACTTAGGGTTTTACAAGAAAAGAGGATAGCTATTCTTAAAAGGCCGGCTACGCACTTGCGAGCCTTCTGGCAATGTGAATGTACATGGGCGGTGGTAAGCCTGGTGAGCCTCCGGCTTGTTTGCCTCCTATTACAATACCCCTTTAAAATCAAGGTACTAAGGTGTAACATCCCAAGCTAAGATGGTCGCTAACACCAAGGTCCGACATGAAACCCGTTAACTGACAGCTGACGACTCACACCTGACAGCTGAGGTGTGCAAGCTCAAGAAAACCAGAGACTAAAATTATTTATATTAAATCATTATTTATCTACGTCTTTAAATTATAACGGACACATTTTTGAGTTTTAATTATTACGATCACCTATTTTTCAATTAGTATATAATATTATTGTATATGTCATTATATTTTACATTTTATGATTATAATACATAGACTTATCTATAAGAGGGTTGACGTCGAGAATTTTGGGGTCACATGGGGTCGGCCACACCTGAGACTCCATTTCACCTGCCATGTCCCCTGAATCTAGGGGACCCTGTAAATGTTATTAATACAATTTATTCATGGTTCAATCTTTGGTTTCATTGCAAATTATAATACGTCGTAGAATAGTGACGGATCTGACAAATAGTAAACATTACAGGGCAGCCATTTCAAAATAATATAATCATATTAGTTTTTGTGAATGATTTTAATTCATATTCTGTTATTATGAAAATTAGCATACAAGCAAACAAAATGGTATGTTTTGAAACAAAATAAGAATAATAACATTAAATTACACAGTTTTCTAGAAAAATCACATGTTTCTATCAAATCCGTCACTTTACCGACTGATTAATTTGAAATTTAAAACACATGAACAATTTTTTAATGTAGCAGTAATATTTAGTCAATGTATTATATACATACAAATATGATAAACAGTGGATTTTAGATTTTTTCAAATCCGACATTGTTCTACGATCATGACGAATTGGCTTTGACACGATTTTGAAAAACCAATTCAGATTATTCATTAGTAAATATAGAATATATACAAATTATATTTTTAATTCTGTTAAGTATTGGTATTAGAAATAGATATTAAACATTTATAATATCAAAAACCTGTTAAAACGCTTATCTAGGCAAAATGGGGTCGCATACCTGTGACGTAACGTGCACACGTAACAGAATACAAGTTTTTTACGTATTAATTATCATTTTCAAATTACACAAATACACATATATTATCAAAAACAGCCTTCGCCGAAATTAAATAATAATTGTACCCCCTTCCCAAAATTTGTTTATATTTTAATACTATGCCAATAAACGTAACAATCAAAACATATTTTATAAATTACTATGACCCGCCCCGGCTTCGCACGGATGCAATGCTGATACTAAATTTAAAGTGCTATAAGAAGAACCGCGGGTTCCGACGCGCTATTTATAGGCACGCTGCGTCCCGCAATTTTTAAATCTGTAATATCTTCGAAAATATTCATTTAAATCATATGCTGTAAAGGGCCATATATATCTATATTAAATCAACAATGTATTTAAGGTATTTAATTTGATAAGGATTAATGCTGTATTGGTTAAAATCGCTTCGAAAATTAGCCATTATTTGTCGTAAAAAGTAAATGACAAAAAAATGTTATTGTGGTATATCCATAAGAGATAGACATATATCATCGCGGAGTTTTCTGTAGAACTTTTCAATGTGTGCAATATTAAGTACATTATTTTGATAAATTTCGTAGGGTTCAGCCTGCGTTTGCAATGTAAGCGGGAAAATGTAATTATTTACGACATCACATTAGAAACCTCAAAAATAACAGTATTTCTCCACTATTTAATGGATGTTATTATACATATAAACCTTCCTCTTCAATCTACTTCCTCCTCACTCTATCTATTAAAAAAAACCGCATCAAAATCCGTTGCGTAGTTTTAAAGATTTAAGCATACATAGGGATATAGGGACAGAGAAAGCGACTTTGTTTTATACTATGTAATGATTTCACATAAAGACACTATATTTTAATCGAATATATTTCAATGATTATCAGGTACTGTTGATTTTTATGGTTGCTTTGGTCATTCATTGACATTTCTTCTATTACTTTTAAGGACCATATTTAATTTTGACTCGATTAGTTTTGCTATTATTTAATAGTTTCATAGTTTGGAATCATTACTTAACGAACAAATATACGAATATTGTAACGACCAATCAGAGCAGAGCAAATGCCTTAGTGGTCGAGGCGCCATCTTGACTTTGCACTGCGTTCAGAGAACGCGAGAAAGTTCTGATTGATTATTCAGTGGAGGATTGTGGTGATGAGAGTATGGACCGAGTGGGATAGATTGTGATTAAATGTGAGATCGTTATAATATAATTTGATAAAGTGTTATTAATAGTGTAAATATTCTCCGACATATATATTTATATATACATGTATATGTTTATATATATACATGTATATGTTTATATATATTATGTATATGTTTTTGTTAAACTCACCTTGCCGGTCCGTTTCCCTCGGCTCCGTTTGGGCCAGGGTTTCTTAAGGTGCACATATGTAATGTGAGCTCGTTTCTCGCTCGCGTGTTTGAAACATTTGCCGCACATTTCGCATTTGTATGGACGGAGGCCGGTGTGAATCTAAAATGTAATATTTATATAAAACTAGCTGACCCGGCAAACGTTGTTTTGCCATGTATATTATTTACAGGAAACAGTTTAGTTCAATAAAAATAACTATCAAATCTAAAAAATAGGGGTTGATCGTAGAGGGGTGAAAATTAAGGATTGTATTTTTTTTTGTATGGTGTATTATAAAAAAATAAAAACATAAAAATAATAATAGCCGATTCTCAGAATCGGTCGATCCGATTCGGAGGAGTATGGGAACGAACATTGTGACACGAGAATTTTATATATTGGATAGTAATAGTTTGATATAGTATAAACTCTATACAGCTGAAGGGAATTTTCTAGCATTACGTACGAGAGAAATGTGTTGTATTTTCACAAACGGGAGACATAGTTCTGAAGTCTCGTTTGTGAATCTCACCGATAAAGCGTTATTTTTTTATATAATTAGAGATGATTATTGAGTCCATTTATTATTAGTATTGTACGTAAATTACGCAACGTACGGAATGACATACACACTAGTTGGGTAGGTAGGCCTTGTTGGACCAAATCCAGGATGTACTAGAGAAGGCACAGATCATGACAGAAGAAGTTTGCCGGTATCTGTACACAACTGTATAAATTTATTTTGTCTGTATAAATTTATTGAAGATCTATTGTTGTTACTGATGTCGTGAAGAAATTATCTTAATTAAAAAAGCACTTACAAACATATGCCGCTGACAATTACTATGGGTCGAGAAGCTTTTCCCGCACATGGCACAAGTGTAGGACGCTCGCAGTTCACTGTGCACGCGCCCATGGGCAACTAGACGTTGCTTCATACGGAACGATTTGCCGCATATTGAACACGCGAACGGACGCTCGCCTGTATGTACCCAGCGGTGGTCTTTAAGAAGGGCGTAACTCTGAAATAATAAAAATGGACGCTAAAATTTTGTAGACAAGTCGGCCTTCAGACATCTTTGTGGTTGGAACCCCAGCTGTACAGCAATGGACTTTCTACGTCGAATGTAGAAGCCGAAGTATGAAGTAGACATGGTGAGAAATTGGCTGTGGCAAAAATTAATCTGGAGCTGTTTCGGAAAAACACTTTTTGTATGGCAATTAAAGTTTACAATAAATTACCAAAAGATTTAAAAGATCTTCCGTCTAGAGTCTTTAAAAAGCGACTTTTGGAAAAAATTTACTATTCAATAAATGATTATTTGCGTGAGACACTGAAGTTAATGTAAATATGATAAAGTATGATATGCATGATAAAGATAAAATAAAAATTGACTTTGACTAATAATGTAAAATGTAGAATTCCTTAAGACAAATTTGCCCGCCATTGTGTGTGGCAGAATATGCGAACGATTTACGATTGTACCACCTTAACATTTATGTACCATATTCTTGCAATAAATAAATTGAAGAAGGAAATTGTGAGGAAACCGGCATGCTATATACACAAACAGCGTGTGGTACAGGCTAATAACATATTTGCCTTAAATGATCAACAAATTTTGACTATAACGTTCCTATAATTGTGTAATCAGCGAATGAAAAGGAGAAACAGCAGCACTGGTATTCATCTATACGTAGACGACCTCACGATGGTAAGGTTTCAAGAAAATTCATTTTCAATAAATAGCAACAAAATCATTCCACGTTTTTCCAATTTTAATAAAGTTCTAATCACAGGTAAGAAAGGAAACGTGACACAAGATAATAAATACAGTTAAAGAAATGAAAGCAAATATAAACTTAAAATTGGTTGGAAAAATCGTTAGCGCAGAACTTTATCGTTGGAAAGGTTGGCATGAACTGAACGCTGCTCGCGCTAAAACTGCAGGCTCCGCCCACAGCTCGTGTGACGTGTGTGCGTTAAGGGGAAATAAATAAAAAGAGTGACTTGTTCGCCAGTTTTATTCAATCTTAACCAAGAGCATCTCTGGCATATTAGTATAAAAAAGACCATTCAAGTCATGTTCAAGAAATTTTGTCTATGAAAAAAATGTTATTTTGTTTATATGGTTTCAAGTATTACGTAGCACTATCGGGGGAAGGGGGTCTTCTTATTCGGTCGGATTTTCTAATTTAACAAATTACCCACTCAGTCTATGCTTGAAAACAAAATGCATTTTCGAGGATTCCTACAAAAAATTAATACGTTTTTGTACTATTATTTTTGAGAGCTTTAAGAGAGAGAGAGAGAGAGAGATTTATTATTTTTGAGAGAGGGGGGGATAAATTGCAGTAAATCTTCTGACGTAATAATATAGTTTAAATTCTATATTAATGTTTTATATTGTATTACTATTGAGTTACTGTAATAGAAAATAAGGAAATAAATATTATAGACACAAAAATTGTCAATATTAAAATTTACCTGAAACATTCTCCCGCAAACCTCGCACATACAAGGCGACTTCATTGAGGGGTAGTTGGTTCGATTCTTGTCTGGATGCTGTCGTCGGAAGTGACTGTGGTATGCGCGGGAGTCTTCCAACTCGACGCCGCACTGAAATAACATTTATCTTTTACAACTTTTATACAGTACGCAATAATTATTGCACCCATAATACTAAATAGGTAACTATTAACATAATATTAAACGTAATCTTAAGTATTACGTAAGCACTTTAGGGGGGAGGGGGGTCTTTGATTTTCTTATTTGGTGATTACGTCAACAGTAATTATTTACTTTTTATATTATATATTCACTTGCGAAAGTTGGTAGTTAATGTAAATTTACAATTAATTTAACATCTTTTCTGACGTTCATAAGTGTACTTGTACATATGAATAAAGTTATTTAGATTTTGATTATTATAAATAAATTATTATAACAAATTAATCTCACCTGTTCACAAGGTATAGGTCCTTCAGCTTTTCTCAATTGGCTCGGATAATTTTTCTTCCTATCAAAAATATCATTTTTCTCAATTTTCTCGCGTGTTTTCCTGCCTTTCCTCGACTTGTCTTTTGAACTGCAAATAGAAACGTTTAAGTACTAAGATTTAAAAAAAATATTTAAAATGGTGTCAAATTTCCTGTTTTTTTATATGCAACGTGTCAACCTGTGCCTGACACATGTCACAATGCTTTCCTTCACCGTACGAGCGAGTACTTACGTAGAAAAGTCTAGTGCACAACCGAACGAACTCACGACCGTTGAGACCGTCTGTCTGTCTATCTCTTTAATGATCTATCAACTTTGATCTTATATAAGGATTCATCTAAATTCACCATTTGAACTTACTCGTTGGTATGTCTGGCGGACACACTTAAATGTCTCTTATACGCCTCCGCGGACACAAAACGAACGTTGCATAACTCACAAAGCGGCCCATCATCGGGCATCTGCAATTAATTTATTTTATTAGAAAATTAGTCATTATTAGAACTTCATTATAATGACATGGAAAAATTACTTAACAAGCTCAGTAAAGAGTCCGCGAGCAGAGATAAATAATAAACTTCGATAACTCATGAATATCCTTCTTTAATTTGATACCCATTCTGGAGGTTTTCCCGTATTTATCTCAACACAGGAGTGGCAGTAATCCAGGTTATAATTTTCCCCTGCCCTCAGCACAATATTTAAATGGACCATTATTTGATTTTTTTCCTCATATACCACAATACTGAATTTATTATAAAAAAGATTCCGCAGGTTTTACCTTAATTCTCTCAACAAAGGAGTGGCAGTAGTTATAAATTTTTTTTTTCTCTACCCTCATCACAACTATATTTAAATATACCAATTATGTATTTTGATTCCTCAAATGCCACAATACTGAATAAATTTTAATATATTTTACGCAGGTTTCCCTTACTTCTCTCAACAAATGAGGGTAGTGACAGTAGTCAGGGTTATACATGTTTTTTCCTCTACCCTCATCACAACTATATTTAAATATACCAATTATGTATTTTGATTCCTCAAATGCCACAATACTGAATAAATTTTAATATATTTTACACAGGTTTCCCTTACTTCTCTCAACAAATGAGGGTAGTGACAGTAGTCAGGGTTATACATGTTTTTTCCTCTACCCTCATCACAACTATATTTAAATATACCAATTATGTATTTTGATTCCTCAAATGCCACAATACTGAATAAATTTTAATATATTTTACACAGGTTTCCCTTACTTCTCTCAACAAATGAGGGTAGTGACAGTAGTCAGGGTTATACATGTTTTTTCCTCTACCCTCATCACAACTATATTTAAATATACCAATTATGTATTTTGATTCCTCAAATGCCACAATACTGAATAAATTTTAATATATTTTACGCAGGTTTCCCTTACTTCTCTCAACAAATGAGGGTAGTGACGGTAGTCAGGGTTATAATTTTTTTTCCTCTACCCTCATCAAAATATTTAAATCAAGCATTTTTTGTATTTTTCCTCACACACCACAAAATTTTTAACAAAGCAATATTACTTACGCGCTCAGTTTTTCCACAAACATACACAACTTACTTTTCCATCATCCAATCGATGTTTTAACTTCTTATGTAGTTCTATCCCTTTCTCACTGACGAAGGAATAACCACAGAGAACACATATGAAGTCAGAAGGATGCTTTATGCGTATATGTCCCATATATGTTGTGAATTTACTGAAAAATAAACATAAATTATCTTCTCATCATTAGAGTCTTTCCTCCAACTTGGATTTTGTCGCTAATTAAAGATCTAAGTTGGGGCCTGGTTGAACCGGTGAAACCAGAGCTGGTGATTTCCTCGCTCAACGAATAAGTATCGCAATACAGCGAGGAAATGCTGCCAGCGTTAAAGGTACACTGCCACAAGGACCAAACTTTTTAAATTCATTTTAGTTTTCTATTTATTCATTTTTAACTATTTAGGTTAAGAATAATTTATTAAAAATGTATTTCCTGAAATTATCTATTAAAATCGTACCATAAGGAACAGAGCATTGGCGCGTGAATTTCTCAACCTTGAGTTGAAATGTATTTTACTTTCTAAGTGCGCAATTAACACCTTCTTATGGGCAAATTGCATGAAAGCATCTTAGTCTCGACTGAATATCAGCCATAGACAAAAAGCGCCATGGGTCTACTTAAAAATCATTAGTTTTTAAGTTTTGTATTTGCATACTTACACAAATTCATCTTGACAATGCGGACACTGGTACTTCGTCCCTTTATGCCAACGTTCGTGGAGCCGAGCAGTTTGTCTGCGATTTATCAAAACAAAACATTTATTTCACATATAAAATAGTACGTACATAGTTCACTGTCCGATGGAGCATAGGCATAATGTTTAAAACTTAGTTAAATTTTATGAGCTATTTAAAAAAAAAAAAAAAAGCTAATTACACGGATCCATAAATTGCGAAAATGAATATATATACAGTGTAACGTCCCTCGATTTACCGACAAAACCCCTAAAGCGTCGAAATCTCTCGGCTTTGGTTGGTTTAGCGTGTCTTCCATACTTCAGTCTACTTACATTACACCCACTCTCAATAATGACAAATAAATAATAAAAAGTACTACTTAATTAGGCGAAATTAGTTAAAACTGCGGAGCTGTGTACGTTGTTTTGTCACTTTATTGTCCTAGCCTCTATATACTCGACTATCGGCATCATACGTACCGAACTTTCTAAGAAATCCATTCTTTTGTCTACAAATGGGATTGCCTGAACGTGCTTTATCACGAAGATGCCTCAATATCGCTAAGATATGAATAAAAAAAACACAACATAATTTTTGGTGCACATCAGGCCAAACTAGACTAAGAATTGTGTTTTATGTCATTACCAACACTAGTCTGAAATAAACTTTCTTTTTCTAATACAGATTTTTCTTACCATTTAACGACAAATCTTCGTAACGTCAAAATTTGCACAGTCCCTTGAGTGTCGTTATATAGATCTTACACTGTATATAAATAGCTGAAAAACCATCTAATATATATATATTAACTCACCTATGCGTAGTGACATACGGACACCTATTACAGTTATATCTCTGTGTGTGATGCGCTGTTATGTGCTTGCGCAGCGCGTGTGGATGTTTAAAATGTGTTTTACATATTGCGCATTCGTGTTCGCCGCATTCCTGAAAAGAAATGATTGTCTGTAAATCAGTTTACAAACGATAGTTTAACGTGACAACGATATTCAAACATTGATGTAATAATTGCATACTTTTATGAATAAAATTGAATCATTTTTATTAAATAATTACTATTTTGTATGGATACAAAGGAGTAACGCATTGGCCAATCGAGTGGAAGAGAGATAGATGCGGCGCAAGCGTACAATAAGCGTAACGGGACAATCAGTTATGCTTTATCGTGCGTAGGTACAGCCCGCGTTCATCGATTTATTAGACGGTGTCGCGTCAAAAAGAGTTACACCAGTGGCACTACAACCTTTTCAGTTCAGATTTCATTATCTATCAGTGATCAGCGTTCTCTGCCAGACACACTATTGTTTGGGTCTAAGGCAAGCCGGTTTCCTCACGGTTTTCCTTCACCGTACGAGCGAGTGTTAAATGCACACATAGAAAGTACATTGGTACACAGCCAACTTAGTGTCCGTCGTTTGTAAACTGCCATTATTATTTTTATTGTTACAGCTTAATAAAGTAATAATAAAAATTAATTAATTAATTATTGATTATTTACAATTGTAATCACAATCCTGTTTTATAATAACTTTATTTTGGCCATATTTTTTATTTATATTTTTAATATATGTTCACATTATGTGTTAAAGAGAATAAATATATATAGAATATTTTTTTTTATTTAACACGTGGTTAAATAAAAAAAAATATTGTAAATCCTAACAATTCTCGAAAACACTAGAACAAAAAATTTTATCAAAATCGGTCCACCCGGTACAATTACAAACACACTCGTTCAAGATTTTTATATATAAATATATTAAAGTAATTATTAGTACAATCAAGAGCTTGAAGCGCGATATTTCTCACGACTAAATAAACAACTGAGCGTTTTTCAAGGCAGTTTTTGCCGCGCACCGCCACTATGTGGAACCAGCTGCCCACTGAAGCATTTCCTAGCCATTTCGACTTAGGGTCCTTCAAGAAAAGAGCGTACCAATTCTTAAAAGACCGGCAACGGACTCGCGAGCCCTCCAGCATTCAGAGGTAGTTTTCCAATTACAGAGCATAATGCGATTCAGTGCCGCACAATGCCGAATTATGCTGAAGCTTAATCGGAACGTGAATTAGTTTTCAAATGCATCTGCAGAGTGTCGAAAGTGCCTGCTTCATTGAAAGATTCAATCAAACCATTGCAATGTTTACAAAAGTATAATGTAAAATAAATTTGTTTACAGATCCGAATTTTAAAATGAAATTGTATTCATATTTTAAATGTGGAATATAAAAAAAAGTAATTATTTATACCTTCATCCATACTTATATTTATTTTTTAGCAGTTCGTAATAATTTTCATTATTTCCAAAATCTACGACACCTCTACGAAGCCTTACAAATTTTTCAACAATAAATAATATTTACTAACGAAAATTTCGATCAATGCCAACTTAAAGAAAAACACTGGTCAATTTTCTGTCACTGTGTTGGTATTGATTGCGAGTATCAAGCATTACTTTTGAGTGTGCTCAATTGTGCGAAGCGTTGCGGAACATTCAACGTTGAGCATTATGCCGCATAATGCGCTCTAGTGCTGTAATTGGAAAACTACCAGTGTGCCCATGGGCAGCGGTATCACTCAGATGAGCCTCATTGTATTAAAATAAATTAAATAAGAAATTTAAAGTCAACATACATTTGTGTGTCGTGTCATATGTCCATTATAAGCGTCTTCATCCAAAAACCCCTTAAAACACTCGCCACATTTGAATACTGCATTTTTATAATTCGCCGATTCCTGCCTCTTCTCAATCTCGGCCATTTGCTCCTCCACCGTCAGGTCCGTGATCGTGAACAGCGTCTCATTTAAATCTGCATTCAAAAATGGCTTCCGTCGCCTATCGATCTTTGGTTCGTCGACTTTTTTCACCTTTTTCGTCTTTTTACGCTTCTTCCTTTGCAACTCAAGAGGTAGACTATCATCAGAGGAGTAATCTTTGTCACATTTATCATAATCTTTATCATTAACATTATCCGCATCATTAAAATGATTATCATTAAAATCATCTCTATCATTAAAATCGTCATCGAAGTCTTTCGGTAACTCTTGCACAAATATATCGTTTTTATCTTGCTCCGGTATGTTTTCAATTTCAATCTTATTTATATTTTCGACATATTCTAGATTGACTATTTTATCTGGATCCAAAATTGTTATAGCCAGGTCTGATGTTAGTTTATGTGTTTGTCTGTCTATTGATTTAATACTATCTATACTAATCTGTAAATTAAGAGAGATCAGAATCAATTCACAGGTATAAACGCGTCAACGAAAGATTGTATTAAAAATCCATTACTGTATGTTTGAGCCGGCAACGCACTTGCGAGCCTTCTAGCAATGTCATTCACATTTAAATTTATATATAATATACATATTAAAGTAATTATTAATCCAATCAAGATCTCTCACGACTACATAAACAACTGAGCGGTTTTTACCAGCTGCCCACGGGGCCTTCAAGAAAAGAGCGTACCAATTCTAGACGACAACTCATTGATCTAGTGGTTAGTACCCCTGACTGCGAATCCATGGGTCCCAGGTTCGATCCCCGGCTGAGACGAACATCGATGTGATGAGCATTTGGTGTTGTGCTTAGGTCTTGGGTGTTTTAATATGTATTTATATGTCTATCTATCTATAATATGTATGTATGTCCGTTGCCTAGTACCCATAGCACAAGCTTCACCAGCTTAGCATGGGACTAGGTCAATTGGTGTGAATTGTCTTAAAAAAAAAAACTTAATAGACCGGCAACGCACTCGCGAGGCCTCTGCATTGAGAGTGTCCATAGGTGGCGGTATCACTTAGCATCAGATGAGCCTTCCGCCCGGTTGCCTTCTTACAAAAAAAAATAAAGAATTTATATAAAATTACAAGCGACCCACCCCGGGCAACCTAAACCCTGTATGTATAAACTTTTACGTTAACAATAACAGAGAAAGAAAACTGTTTTTTTTAGGTTTTTCCAAATTTCTCTTTCCATAAAAACCTCCTTTTTACTATATATATATAAATAAATAAAATCGATTTGGTCCTTTATAATATTGCCCTTAACATATTTTGAGATTAATTTTTATTTATATAATGACTAGCGGTTTCCCGCCCGCTTTGCTGGGCGAAATAAATAAAATTTTATGTTTCATTATTATTAATTTTTCATATTTTTATTATTCTTCTTTTTAACTTCACGCTAAGAAAATTGAAAATTTTCGAAAATCGAGTTTTTAACAGAGGTTGACGTTTTGAGTATGTATAAATTTTCATAAAAGTAAAACAGCAATAAAAAAATGAAGGAACGAATTTAAAAAATAAATAGCCATAAACCATCTAGGCAGTAGTTTCGCATCGAATGGCAGTAGTTTCATGTCAATACGATCAGTGGTTTAGGCGTGAAGGAGCTAGATATAGCTAGATAGCTAGATAGATAGAATACTTACGATACTATTGTCTGCTATCAGATCCAATAGAAGTCTCCTAGATTTCAAGCACTTCGATTTAAACATATGACAGTTTGCCAGCCTCTGTGCACATTCAAAACAAATGTATTGAGGTAAATTATCACCTTTTGACATCTGAAAAAATATACTTAACGTAATCGAATGGGACATGTGGCATGTTTTCAGTATATAATATTTGTAAAGGATTATCTAATATATAAAATTCTCGTGTCACAATGTTCGTTCCCATACTCCTCCGAAACGGCTCGACTGATTCTTATGATTTTTTATGCATATTCAAGTCTCAGAATCGGCTATTATTTATCTTTCAAACCCCTAATTGTTAAGGGTGTTTTTTTTTTTTTGAAAATTTTTTTTTGTTTCAATTTTTTTATGATATGCTGCAAAAATACATACAACCCTTAATTTTCACCCCTATTTTTTACTATAGTATTATTATTACTAGTAGTATTTTTATATAAAAGGTATAATGATTAGAGGCTGTATCTCATTCGGAAGACCTCCACTAGGAGCTAATTCCACATCTGATTCCTAAAAAGAAATGCCTAGACAGCGGACTGTGTGATACTGATTTTTTTCCGACTATAAGTATATCACTTGCTCATACAATAGGAACTGGCACCATAGGGTTTTCCGTTTTTTGCTTTGGGGAATATTACTTGGCACTAAATCTTTACTCTGAAAATAATCCTAAATCAAAGTCCAGCACACTTGCTTAATCATGACTTGCCTACGTCAAAGTTAAAAATCATTTATTCATGTAGGTAACACAATGTACACTTATGAACGTCAAAAAAAGAAATGTACATTAAATGCTCCTAATTTTACATTTACCGCCAGTTCTCAAATCAAGGGCGTTGAACGGAAGAGAACTGACAATAAACTCTCTGCCACTCTTTTTAATCGCCAAGTTTTTTGTTTTACACAACGTTTGTAAGGAGCTGCAACCGTTACACCATGTTCCACATACCATCTTAAGTAATAAATAATAAAAAAATAAATTAAAAACAAAGATTTGTCCTCTATAAGCAGGAGGCATGGTGAAATAAGAGCAGGCACTTACATTCCCGTGGGAACAACACGCAAATACATAGTCGAAACAACTAACATCACCGCATACTACGAAGTAATTAATCGGGTCTGCCTTACAAAATATTGCATAAATTTAAATGAATATTTACACTTACAGCGTGTCCTGTAACATGTTCATATGTTTGTTCCAAACTAAACTTTCCAATAGGCAATAACTTCACATCTGAACCGAGACATATTCTACACACCTGTAAATAAAATTCAGCAGATAAGGGAGCGTTCAAGTATTACGTAGCGCGTTTTTTTTTCCTTTTGTAAAACGTTACGATGCGGGGCGGGGATTGAATTACGCGTTATTGTTAATATTATTTTCGACTTACATAATATTAACTAAAGAGACACAAGGTGGTCACGAAACGTTTTACTATACTTGAGTACATGGGGGGGTCAAATAATCTCCAAAAATTGCGTTACGTAATACTTGAACGCTCGGCATTGATCCTGATGTAATAATTCACTCATACAAAGTATTGGTTTTACATATAACAAGGACTTTCTGATTTGATAAATTTCAAACAATTGTCTTATTATTATTATTAGCGGGCCCGTCCCGGCTTCGCACGGATGGACATTTATTTTTTTAAATTTTTTTCATATTGATATGTTCTTTAATATTGTGGAACATTTTTTTGTTTCATCGCCAATAGTTTACGCAGCGCAAGCGATGGAAGATATTTTATAGGCATTTTTTTACACCTTGGGTAACATTATTGTAATTTTAGTAATCCTTAATTTTTCTTGCAATTAAAATCAGTGATAGTGTAGCATTCAAATTGTGGATCCAGTACTTTTTTAAACCGTTTTCATTTGTTACAAACATCTTACATACAAATCTTTCCTCTTTATAGTGTTAGTATAGAAGTACACACATGCTGGCTTCGACTGTTTATTGCAAGCAAGAGGTGCTAGCTAATAATTAAGAGTTTAAATCACACATTGCCTCTGAAGTGGTTGATTAAATTTTTAACAAAACATACTGCTATTTGATGGTAATACTTACCAAAAGATTAACAGTATTTTCATTGTAACTGCAAACACTACTCTGAAAAGCAAAGAAATTATCTGTTAAAATTAAGTATACAAATCTAACAGTCAGGCATAACTGGTAAGTCATTTACCTTAGCCTGTATTTTACCTTTCACCAGTTAAGGTGCTGGTATATGGCCTGTCTTTCTAGATATAAAAATAATAATTTATAATAATAAAGCAAATGATTAATCTCAAACATCTTTACCCAGTCACAAAATAAGACAGTAAGAACAGCTGATTTTGTTGTTAATTACGAAGCTAAGAACTCCAAAAATTTATGGCTTCATGGGAAATCACTGTAGATCTGCCAAATTACTATGAAAAATAAGCTAAGCCACAAATTCTTGTTCTAGTTTTAAATGTATCTGCTATATGCCATTTTATTGTACCATGAAAAATCTGTTATCATAAGGAAAGAGGTAGAATACTTACATCAGAAATTGGTACAGCACCATTCCTCACTTTCCTTAAACCACTCTTGGTGACAAAAATATCTTCAATCATGAAGTGGTCTGAACAGACAGCACTACGTTCTCTTGGAGACCATGATTCCTTCCCTATTGCTTTTAACCAGGCTTGGCGCATTTTTGATTCGGTCGGAAACCTGCATTAAATTGTTATGAACCTTACATTTGATAAATCTATTGGAATTTTATAGAAAACAGTATTTTGTTTGCATATGCATTTTAAAATACAAATTTACAGTTTTGAAGTAATTTCATATATAAATTTATAATCATTAAAAGGTCTAAGTATTTCATGCACATCTAAATATGACTATTTAAAGAGTCTTTAGTCAAGTTTGTTAATAAGGTTTGTTAAAAAAGTTTATTTTTATTTAATAAACAAACTTGCAATATTATTGTATACTGTGTGAGACACTGATAAAAACTTACACATGAAATGTAATGCCGTGGGATTTGGAGATAGTTCTCGAATCATTTTTGCAGGATTTTACACAGCACCTCATCTTTTAACTGTTTCCATAAATAAATTTTATAATTCACACAATTCGAACTTTTATTTCATACATATTTTTTTTACATCAATATTAAAAACACGAAAAGTGTAAGAGTATGCGCGTTATTTATTTTCAACGCTACTACGCTACATGACCAATTAATAATATTACAGGATTTATAATATTGTTATAAGTTAAAAATTTCACATAAATAAACGATCCTATTTTTGTTTATTTTCAAAAAGAGAAAAAAATCAACATAGCAATAACTCTTCGATTACCGATCACACTTGCCCACAGATCTATTATATAGTCATAGACACTTGCATTGCACCACAGATATATAATCAAATATAGTCAAAGACGTAATAAAGTTTACAAATGCATCAAACTCAAACTTAAAATAACTTTATTCATATAGGTAAATAAGTACACTTATGAACGTCAACGTTAAATTAATTCTAAATTTACATTTACTACCAGTTTGCAAGTCAAGGGCGTAGAGCGGGCAAGAGGAACTGGCAAGAAACTTTCCGCCACTCTTAACAAGTCCTGTCGTTTTATTTTGATACACATTTGTCAAACTCGAGATTTACCACGAAAGTTCATATTATAGTATTACAGATAACAAGCATTTCATCGTTACTCAACCTTCGGAAGTCGGAACACTTTCTATAATAAAACAGAAGCTCTAACTACAGAAATAATATGTCAATACAAACACCGAGATATTTGTAGTTAACCTGTACTTTATCTCTAATAAGTCTGTGGTATGAACTTGTCTATCCCTTAGGTCTATTGAACTTGAAAAAAAAACAGAATGGTTGATTGTTTATTATAATAATTCGATAGGTACGGCTTGAATTGGGTTAAAAATGTAATAAAGAGGCCTAGATTTATTTGAATAACAATTCAATAACGCAAAACGTAAGCGTTTAGTATTATTTCCCGTACGATGGCCATGTTTTAATTGATCTTATTTTTATTACTTCAAGTCCGTTGTAAAGGTACACTAACAAGCAATAAATATATGATATTTTCAATGAAAACAACAACATAATAATATCTTAATATTTTAAATTTATAATATTTAAAATTATCATGATTGTTTATATTTCTAGACAAATACAATGTTTGTTCTAAATCTCATACCTACCTTTTATGTTTATTACAATAACCTATGTATTTCAGAGTTTAATAATCATGGAAGCTTCAGATAATATAATGAAGGTAATTAATTTACTAATTATATATGAATAAAATCAAGGAAAAATATTGTTTATTCTTAGGTTACTTACACAGTCTCAGTTGCACAAATCATTTGGCAGTATTAAAAAGTATATTTCAGTTTATAATATAACTGATATTTCCATCACAAGAAAATAAACTTGAGAATAATAGTATGTTAAATTTCTTTTTAAAACCTTGGTTAATTTAACTACATTTGCTACACTCGTAGCACTAGTAGGGGTTCTTACATTTATTACTTCTTTTGGTTTGCATAGGATGAATATAACCTGAATATATAAAATGTTAATGTGCAAAAATATGTTTGTCTTCTAATCTTATTAACGTAAATGGTTTTTTTTTTACAGTTTTTTATAAATGTGTTACTTGACAGACTAACTTAAGTAACAAGATAAATGTTTTTTATTCAGTAGAGTTATAATTATGTTTAATAGAGAATATTTTTTACAGGTATGCCGCCTTTGTCTTACAATGGACACAAAGATGTATAATATCAACAAATACAATTTGCATCAAGTATTTATTAACATAACAGGCCTTTCTGTAAGTATTAATAGTGCAAGTAGTGTTTATTTGAATTATAAACATCAAAAGCATTTTTTCTGTGGTTGTTGCAGGGTTGCTTGATGACAAATACTTTGTAATGTGGATTCAAATTATATAGAACTAAGAATTAATATCATTGCTTTTTAATTGCCACATGTAAATATGAAAATTAAAGTTGTTTCAAGTTTTAATTTTAGAATCAATATATTTCTTTATATAAGTATTTGTATGCTGGTCTTCAGTTAACCAATATATCATGTCGAATAAGGCCCTAAATTTTCTTTGGAATGTCTAAAGGCTTTCCAAATTTTATATATTTATTTCTATTGGACGCCTACATTCCAGCAGCAGGGTTATAACCCTTTATATATATTATAATTAAGGCTATTAATGAGCTATGTAAAAGTTTACAAGTTGATAGGACCAATCAATAGCTGCCTAAATCGAAATCCCGTAATTCGGGGTTCAATTGTTCATAAGCATTAAATTTGTGTAACCAGGGTCTGAACAAAACAATAACTAAAAAGAAACATGTTTAACAAGAAGTTATATTATCTAACTTTACTTACAATTTACATTACTATGAATAAAGCAACCTAAACCAAAGTTATTTTGATGTCGAACAATGAAGTTAAGATTTAAATTTAGAAGAAAAAGTTTTTCTTCTTACATTTAATTTCCTTCTAGCATACCCGGGGGCTTAAACAAGATGCCTTAACAGTAGTCACAACTTCCGTAATTCTTTTATAATAATAATAATTTACAAATATTATTTTCGATTCGGTCTTTGATAATATTTAGTTTTCCCCAACAGAACACGCAGATAAAAAAGAAAAACCGCGAAAACCAGCGTTGGGGAATTATTGCATTTTAGAATAATAAGCAAAATAATATTATATAATACCAATTTCAGGTTACACTAAACGAAACCTTTCCTCAAACTCTATGTTGGGAGTGTACTCAAAGGCTCAGATCGGCAGAAAATCTACGACTGAAAGCTATAACCAGTCATAATTTACTACTGGATTTATATAAATTGGAAAAAGTTGTAAGTATTTTAGTGTCTGTATATTTTTTCACATCTGCTTTTTAAAACTATTTGTTTAATTTTCTGACTCCCTGTTTTACACTTTACTCTTTAAAGTATCTTCTTTGCCTTCCTAGCAGAAACCATCAAAATAATTATTAAGGAATTATGATATTATGTGTACCTCATACCTCAAATTTTAAGTTGAATTTAAAATGCGTCCTACTAGTATATAGTTACTTCCCTTTATGGGGTCCTATATTCTCGTTTGCCCCCATATCTTGTTATAATAAATCAGGGGCAAATATAAGGGGCTGACACACCTAAATGTCTAAAAGTCTCTTGTATTGGATTTCAGGTGACATTAGAACAAATAAAATCAATAAATAGATATTCATACGGCCTTCAGTCCTCATTGACATCTAAAATAAATGAAAATGACAACTTTGATTTAACAATTGATGGAGATGAGAAAATTATAGAAGAGAAAATAGAAGTTAATTTAAATGAAGATGTTTTTGATGATTTGGAACAATGTGAACCTATTGAAGTTAAAGTGGAGAGTAATGAGATATTTTTTGAAGATTGTGGGTTTGTTAGTGAAGACGATAGAACGTTAAGTGAGATGTGTAAAGTGAAGAAAGTGAAAAAGGTGAAAGTGAAGAAAAAAGTGAAGGTTAAAGATAGTGAAAAGGTGGAGGATGATGCGACAACTGTAGCTGATAAGTGAGTGAAGTAATTTTGAATTTTTTACTACTTGAAATTTGAATATATCTAAGTGCTTTATTATTACCATTTTTAATTTTTTGTTCTTTAGATTTTAGTTTAGTTTAAGTTAATGTTACATATTAATTTATGTTCTTTTTTTGGTAAATTATTTATGCACTTCATGTACTTTACCCTCTGTAGGTGTTTCAGTTTAAATTTTTAAGACTAGGGTTGCCTGGAAGAAATCGCTTGTTAGCGATAAGGCCGCCCGTTGCCTAATAAGGGAGCGTACAAGTATTACGTAACGATTTCGTCCTTTTGTAAAACGTTACAATGCGGGGTGGGGATTGAATTACGCGTTATTGTTAATATTATTTTCGACTTTCCAATACTTTACACCACATAATGGTAACTTTTAGGTTAAAGAGTCACTGGGTGGTCACGAAACGTTTTACTATGGGGTACAGAAAAACGTTACGGCGCGTTACATGTGGGGGGTCAATAATCTCCAAAAATTGCGTGACGTAATACTTGAACGCTCCCTAACTTATGTAACCTGTTTTTTATATGTATATTTAAGGTAACGAAGAGTTAAAAAAATACAATAAACTCTTTTGTCTCTTTCCGTCAAATTATCGTCTATGCTTATAAGATACAGACTGTTCTGGACGGCTTTATGTATATTTAAACAGTTTTAACTTATGTTCACCTGACAAATTGTTCAATGCTAAGGGAAAGTGGGACCAAAACACCAAATTCCATTACACAAATCACAAGAGTAAATTTATTTTTGAAAATAATTTCAGATTCAAAACCACGGACGTAAAACGAAGACGGACAAACGAAAATATTGATGAGAATCTCTTTACAATAACAATGTTGTCGTATGAACAACAAATTGAACAAATAACTAAGAGAAAAGAGTCGGTACTATACAAAAATGCTACTTATAAATGTGAATTATGTTTTCGAGGATTCCATATTAAAGCGAGATATGATGCCCATAGTATACGACATCGTGACGTAAGTTATAATTTATATTATAAGATGAGGGTACTTTTATGTTATATTTTTGTAACTACCCGCATAAAAGTGCATAATTTTAATTATTGTGACGTGAATTAGGTTCGGTTGTTGTATGGAGATGTTCAAATAAAACACTTTGAAGCTGGATTACAACTGGTTTTAATTGTTTAAAACATGATCACGATAACATTAGGGATATAGGTCTGTTATCTAAAGCTGGCGGCTTCAACACATTTACACTCTGTGCTTGTGTAGTGTCTGTGAATAAGCGCGAGGCGTGACGTCACACTGAATATGCATCATGAAAAGACTGTCCTTCTCTCTCGCGCTCGGTCAAGCTTATGAGTATAAAAGAGACAGTTATTGTTTCAGTGAGAGGATCGGCAGAGTAAAAAGATTTTTGATATCACCCTCATCAAATTTAATAAAATTAAAAAATGTCTTTCGAACACCTATCTTTTGGGATTCGTAACTTTTATGCTTACTAACCGGGTCAGCAAGTACTTTATTAAAACAATATTCTACATTAATTATAAACGAAGAGTTAAAAATAATCGTTCTTTACAGGAAAGCGGTGCCTTCGAATGCTTTATATGTAAAAGTAGACTCAAAACTAGTCGAGCACTTCGCAAACATATAACATCCCAACATACAGAGCAGTTTAGTTGTAGAGGCTGTCCGTTCATCACTATGAATAGGTATTTTTCAAATTCACGTTAATTAAAAGGTTTTTAGAAACTTGTCTATGATGTCTGTCAAAATACGAATTTCATTATATCTAATATATAAAATTCTCGTGTCACAATGTTCGTTCCCATACTCCTCCGAAATGGCTCGACCGATTCTTATGAAATTTTTTATGCATATTCAGTAAGTCTGAGAATCGGCTACTATCTATCTTTCAAACACCTAAGTGATAAGGGGTGGCCACCCCTAGTATTTAATACTAATTAAATATTTAAAACAATTTCAGAGGTGTAGCGAGAGAACACGAAAAATGGCATTCCGGAGCGAAGTACCAGTGTCCACATTGTCCCAGCCAGTTCGAGTGAGTACTTTATAATGTAATAATCGAATATTTACAATTTTCTTAACCTACATAGTGATAATAATATAGGTCGGTTATCGAAAGCTGCCGCGTTCACAGTACTCACACTAATGCAATTTCACTATACAGTATGTTTAAAAATATGACTTTTTTGCCAAGATAAATATTTCAGTCTACTATGGTTTTAGTAAGGTTGGGTGGGTTGTAAATAAATAAAAATGTGTCAAATACATATAAATATGTGCATACGAGGGTGGATCCAAAAGTTCTAAGCCCGACCAAGAACGTTAAAGAGTAGTTTGTGTAAATAGTTTTGAATTTTTCGATATAAGCTCCATCTAGCTCAACACACTTCACTTTTACTTCACTAACAATTCTTTCAATACTCCTCTTAGAAACACCAGTCGCATCTGATGTCAAATCGTACAATTCTTTCAATGAACTGTTTTTATTAAGATGCTTAAAATAATTAAAAACATTGTACACCATTTCACGAGATCCTGGTAATGTTTAGACGGAATATACGTAGTCGGTCCCAAAGTTCTGTCATAAATGGAAATAATGATAAAAACAAAAGTACTGATCAGTTTGTAATGAGTGATATATCAATTCTTAGTACATTAATTAAGGAATAAAAAAAGCATAAAAATATTCGAAATAACCTCCCTCATTTTTAATACAGGCCCTTAAGCGTCGCGGCCAGTCGTCTATCGCAGCACGCACCATATTCGTGTCGATTTCAGTCACTGGTTTTTTTAAAGATGACTTCAGATTCTCCAAATTTTCATGAGGTTTATCACAGACCTTCCTCTCTAAGCCCTGTCATAATTTCTGGTCCAAAGGATTAAGGTCCGGACTGGAGGAAGGCCAATCCTCATGTCTAATTAAGACGATGTTTTGACGCTCAAACCAGGCTTTAGTGGTCTTGGCTTTGTATGCAGACGCAGAGTCCTGCTGGAACACGAAGTGATGTCCCGCAAATAGGGTGCTGGACATGTCTTTGACAAGGCGATACAAAACCGTCTCTTGGTACACTGTAGCACTGGTTTTGACCCCCTTTTCGAAAAAATTAACCTCAGTTAGCCCGTAATAGGACACTCCCAACCAAACCATTACTGATGATGGATGATGTCCATGTTGCACCCTTGGAACTTTATTTTCAGCTTCTTCAGAACTCTTAGCGTACACTGTATAATTCTGTTTATTGTACTTCTCTTCAATATCGAAAAATTTTTCGTCCGTAAAGAGGATATCACGGTGTCGGTTTTTCGCGTACCGCTGAAACAACACCCGCGATCTCTTAAGCCTTATTGCTTTTAGACGAGCATTAAGTAAGTGCCCACTCTTTTTTGTATGCTCGTAGACCAAGATCTTCATTTAAAACCTTTTTTACTGTTTTCCTACTGACACCCATCTGCAAATCCATCAACTTCTGTTTTCGGACAGGATTTCTTACTATCCGCGCCTTGATAGCTTTGATTACTGCTGGTGTTCTTGCGGAGCGTGGCCAGCCAGTTCTTTTCTTGTCCTCAACACTGGAGACTTCAAGGTACCTATCAATAGTACCGTACACAAACCTAAGCGTTATATTCAAATTTTTGAGCAACTTGAAAATGGTACTCGGCGAGTGTCCACAGCGGTGCAACGCAATAACAACTATTCGGTTTACTTTCAATGTCCACTCCATCGTGAAAAATTACGGAAAGTTATTGTTTTTTTGTTTTAAAACAATAATCAAACATTCCAAAATAGAATGCAATAATTTTTTTATAAAATCCTGCTCGAAATGTAGAAATAATGTGCTAGTGACAGAACTTTGGGACCAACTACGTATTTCATAAGACATTTTTTAAGTATTCTAACCTCCAACCAAATAAGTAAACAATCACAGACAAAATAATAATGAGAAAAAAGTTCAACATGTACAGTAAAGATCAACATAAAAAGTAGCAAAAGCAAAACAATAACTGTCTCTTTTATACTCATAAGCTTGACCGAGCGCGAGAGAGACGGTCAGTCTTTTCATGATGCATATTCAGCGTGACATCACGCCTCGCGCTTATTCACAGACACTACACAAGCACATAGTGTAAATGTGTTGAAGCCGCCAGCTTTAGATAACATACCAATATAAGGTGCTTAGAAAAGGATTTAAAAATATTTTATTTCCAGTAAAGTGACGACATATCTCGGCCATGTTAGAATCAAACACGTGTCGGACTTCGTGTGTGAGTTGTGTGGGTATACATTCCTAAGCAAGAAGGGTATCGAGGTTCATAAGAAGAAAAAACATCGCTTATCCGAAGAGACGGTAAGATTTTCATATTTATTTATTTTCAATAGGAGGCAAACGGGCAGGAGGCTGATGTTAAGTGATATGCCCATGGACACACATAACCAGAAGGCTCGCAAGTGCGTTGCCGGTCTTTTTTGACCTATGTTGGTCGTAGAGCAGCCTGTAAGAAGGGCAGCCAGTAAGAAGAGCAGCCTCTGCCTCCACCGCCGAGTGTTGAGCGTCTAGGGGAAGGGCTCCCAGAGGGGGATTCTCCACCGATTATAAAAAATTGGTAACTTATTCTCAGAAGGACCCCTAATCCAATTGGTTCGGAAATACTTGATGTTTTCACAAAGTGGTGGGCGGCAAAATGTTACCCAGCAGTTTTTAGATTATGTCAAATATATATTAATTAATTTTAAATAATTTCAGGCGCCGCTGGAAGGCCCGTATTGTGAAGTGTGCGACGTGAGATTCGTGTCAGAGGAAGCTCACTTGCGACATTTGAAACTATCTTCAAGGCACAGTAGTGATAATGATCCGTGAGTATATATTTTCAATCAGAACTGTCACGCGTTCTCTGAACGTATTGTCCAAGATGGCTCCTCGACCCCACTCGAGATATTTATTTGCTCTGATTGGTCGTAACAATATTCGTACTTTTGTTCGTGAAGTAATGATTTCGAACTATGAACCAATTAAATAATAACAAAAAAATCAAAGATATGTGAATATTGATCCTTAAAAGTATAAGAAGGAATCTAGAAATGATTAACCAAACCAACAATAAAAATCAACGGTCAATTGACGCGATAATATTTCCTGATAATTTTAGCATTCCCTGGCATATGATACCTATATGACTATTTGACATAACTTTTCGATCAAGTTTATATCTATTATATATTTATCAGAACACTTATACAAAAAGAAAATATTTTCTTTTATTGACATAACCTTTACACATTTAAAGAAAAAAACTTTTTAACAGAATTAAAGTTATGTATTATTATAAATTTACAATTATTTAATATAATTTTAAATTTAACCGACGTTTCGCGTGCTTTACAGCGTGCGTGGTCACGGTGACTGAAGACCAAAGGTGATGAATGTCAAAAAGTATCACAGCTGTAGAGAAAGTTGCATTATCTGTATTTATTTCCCCGGAGTTGGTATCGGCTAAAAGATGGAGGGTTTTGGCAGAAATGGCTCGTCGCGAAACGTCGGTTAAATTTAAAATTATGTTAAATAATTGTAAATTTATAATAATACATAACTTTAATCCGGTTAAAAAGTTTTTTCTTTAAAGAAAATATTTGAAAGGACAGCGAGACTAACTTCCAAAATATTTTTTAAAATGTTTTTTATTTGTTTACATTTTAGTGATAGAATACGAAACGACTCGCAAAGCATGAGTAGTATGAAGAAAGGTGTGATGAGACGCACTGACCGACGGATGATGATGCACAGGCGCGATGATGATGAGAATCCAGCGGAACTCATCACTTGTGAACAGGTGAATATTCCAAAAATGCAAAATAAAAAGACTGCTCTCAAATTTCTTAGGCAAAAAATAACAGAAGAACATTTAATATTTCATTTATTTAAAACATTATAATTCGTACAACGTTCAATTACGTAAAAGAAAGTCTATGGGAAGCGCGAAATCACTAGAGGGCGGCGTCGGCGCAGCCAAATCACCGACACGTCGATATATAACAATATACTTATAGAAACGTTCCTAATATGTATCAGAAAAGTGTGGACTACTGCCTTGCGATTCTGTAACTCACTTTTCGAACTCTCACTGCGTCTCTCATTTTACGATTTGGCATTTTGATAAACTATAAACTACAAGGTCCCTCCTTATCAGAATGACTGATTTGAGCGCGACCGCCGCTGTGAAAACCGCAGTGAGAGTTCGAAAAGTAAGTTACAGAATCGCAAGGCTGAACCGATGAACTTGACCTTTTCAATGACTTAGAATATCCTGATTTAAATCAAAATTATTGATGTATCAGAGAAAGGCGTGTACGTGAGGAGCCTAAATATACGATCCAACGGTTTCTGAGGGTGGACCCTCACCAGGTCATTTGTCCAGTGGAAGGCCGTCCAACGCTTTCTTTAATAGAAAATCACGTATACATCCGTAAAATTATTTTGATTAAAATGTGTACCATAGTAGAAGAAATAATCATCAATTTAAAAATAATTAATTGATTTAATATTTTAATTACAAAATTTATAAAGAAAGTGCACTTTCGCACGTACTACAGGTTACCTACGTGCACGCATATGTACGCGAACGTAAATGTAAATATGTTCGTTTTTTTAGATGATAAATATTATGTGAAATTAATTTTCAGTGTGGAGCCCAACTCCGTGGTCTAAGGTTGTACGCGCAGCACTTCCGTAGAGTTCATCCCGACAAGAATCGAACCAAGTACCCAGCTATGAAGACGCCTTCTATGTGCGAGCAGTGTGGTAGGATATTCCAGGTACGAATCTTAAGACCCGATTGAAACGTGTTTATCGTACGTAAATAAAATAAGTGTTATTGAGAATATATACAAGGCTTTAAAAAGCATTATGGACTAAAATAACGTCTAAATATTCATTAATTTATTTAAAAAAAACAATTATTAAAAATATAAATTTTTATAGTCGGTCACGTGACACGAAACGACGATGACGTACCATGCTTGTAAATAATATCTCGTCCCCAGTATTATTCTAATACTGCTTTGGGAGTTTAATTTCGTCAGATACTGTTTTTGATTGAAATGTGTGTAGTTATGTAATTTAAAAATGATAAAAAACTTAACTTTTGTAACGTGTTTACAAGCACGTTACGTCATAGATGCGACGCCATCTTGCCTTGAGAATGATTTTATCAGGTTCTTGATATTATAAATTTTTAATATGTATTTCTAACACTTAACATAATTAAAAATAACAATTTGTATAGATTCTAAACTAATAAAACCTGATTTTTTTAAGTTATACTTCTTTAGGCGCGTTATGAAAAATTGATGAGAGTGAAATTTTACGATGCGCGCGCACCTATGACACAAAATTGGGAGTGTGATTATAGCGTGCGCACTGCGCAATCTACAAGTAAAAAGAAATAGAATATGCGTGAAGCTAACTTCACGCATATTCTATTTCTTAGCTTAGCAGCTTAACAAGAATTTTGAATGACCATGACATCTGACAATGACATTTGAAACAAATATAGGAGTATTAATTAGTTTTAAAGATTATATACCTAGTTATTTTTATTATACAAGTGCGAATTTTATATTTGCGTCTGAATTATAATCAGAAGTGATTTAAATTGAATATCTAAATCAATACTAATTCATATGATAAAATATTTGTGAAAAAACTGTGCCGAACTTCCTGAGTGCTTCAATACAATTGAGGTTAACTATCCGTATGTATTATCGAGTATTATTGTTGATTAAAACTGAAACATGAACCATTATTCATTGCTTTTGTTTATTGCGTTTGTTACAGCAACTTTTTAGAAATATTCTACGACCCTATATATCAATAATTGAGAACAAAGATTTAAGCACGAATACTAATAAGGAGAAAATGAAGGCTTGGAGCGATATTACAGAGAAGTAAACATTTTAATAAGTACCTGTATCTCAAAAAAATGATTACATTATTTAATCAAAACATGTAATTTTTCAGATTTAATCTAGCAAATATAAGGACAAGAGACAAAAAACAATTGATGAATCAGTGGAAGTGCACTAAATTGAATAAAAAAAAAGAGTTGTCATCTTATCGCCGTGAAACATCAAAAACTAGAGGTGGAACAAAGCCACCATCACCTTCTCCAGACACAATGGATATGGCAGAGATTATACCGCAACGGTTTGAAGTAGATTTCAATGAATTTGATTGTGATGGTGTCGAGGTAGGAATGTTAATTATAAATATGATGGTGATGTTCAAGGTTCAACCTCTCAAGCATAGGCACATACTTTATTCCCCTACAGGGTAGTTAGAGATATTGTAATACCTCAAAACATCCATGTTGCTCTTGTAGTACCGAAACTCTGTCCAGCCAGATGTGAGCCCATTCCCACTTATAATGGACAGTGGGTATAATACACCTTAATACCTGAGTGCGAACCACTCACCATGATACTTAAATTAATAGATGTTATTTATATATTTCAGGATATTACAAATAAAATCATTTTGGAAACAATTGCTATCCCAAAAGCAAATAAAGCCAACAATGACAAGGTAATAAATCAGTTTTGACATAACTTGAATACTAAAAATGCCAAACAAAGGTGTGCACAACAGTGACAACATAACTTAAGAATTTCATTATTTTGTAGGATTAAAAAAGGTTAAAGAAAATCATGTCGAACTGAACAACAAGAATCCCCAAACAACTCAAAAGAAACCTACAAGGAAGACACCGGTATTATATTTAAATTATCTCTATCTCTAAATAGAATAAAAGAAAGTTGCTATCCAGGTCTGTAGCATGTGCTACAAATTATATTATTAACACATTTATATAATTATATTAATATAAATGTGTTAAAAATTTTATAATATGAATTATAAAAAATTTTAAGTTTTGCATGGACAGAGCTTAAATTAATATTCTCTTATTTGTTGCAGAAGCAAGTAGTAGTTTTAGTTTTGGAGAAGCCTCGTAGATGCACAACCAAGTAATGATTAATTTAAAATTACAAACCGAAATTCTGATGAAGACATTAGAGTCACTTAAAAATAAATAGTATAATGAAATAAAAATGTTTTAAAGATAAATAGTGCTTTATTTGTTTAAATAACTTAATTGTTAAAACAACCTAAATTAAGAACTATCAAACTAAGTTTTCATCAATAAAAATGGCTCTTACTGCTGCTCCATGCAGTTTATTTTGAGATGAGGGTACTGTTAGTGTGGGCAGGGTCTCTTCATCATCATCAGAGATAGGTTCCTCTTTTAATTCAATGGCTATATTGTGCAATACTGACAATAAACACCTAAATCTGTTTTTCCAAACACCAAAACATCTCTCTACGCTATTGCGAGTTCTGATGTGGCATAATTGTATGATTCTTCTTTATGATTTTTTATTTTGTAAGAGAATAATTATAAATATTTATTTATTAAATTTTTCAAATGTAAACTGAACTTTATTGACTATAATGACTCCTTTTCCAGGCTTTGATTATTTAATTGTAATTAATTATTTGCATGCAATCAAAATCTATTTCTAATAATGCCAAAGAAGTATAACTTCTTACGCGCGTACATAAGTACACGCACCCTTTTTTAAATATCGTCAATAGCCCGTGAGACTAAACCACATATTGCTTTTAGAGTATGGCCCTTCTCAAAGACCATATGTGGGTGCACACAGGCGAAAAACGCTTCAAATGCGACCGTTGCGATAAGAGTTTTACCCAGAAGACTAATCTGGTCTTCCATATGAGGGTGCACAGTGCAACGCGGCCTACGTACGAATGCCCCCTTTGCGGGAAGCACTTCGCTTTCTACAATAATAGGCGGCGGCATATGTTCGTAAGTAAATAAATTTAAGTAAAAAAGGTTGGTTTTATGAAACCACGGTAAAAGTAAAACTTTTTTCACATTATAGACATTTAACTCAATAAAATTAAGAGTCTAAAAATCGCTTTATCAATCTTAATGTTATACTTGGAAAATTGGAATAATAATGGGAAATAATAAAAGTAGACTAAGTCTCCAACTAATATTTTTATTGAACTCTGTGTCTTAGAGAGTACGACATACATAATACTTAACAATTATTTAGTTTAGATTATATACACATATTAATAACAATCATTTAGATTATACACACATATTAAATAATAGTCTATACACTACACGGTCAGCTGCTGCGAACTATAGGCGCCGCCATATTGGCCTTGGCTGCTATGACGAGCGCCTTTCCCTTTATCCCTATTCCGCGGCCGACCGTCACGCAACATGCAACACACAGACGAAAACGTTTGAGACGATGTAATAAAAGTTCACTTTAATAACAGAAAAGTAAATCTTCTGGTCGAGCAATTTTTTGAGATACATAAGGTCTGTTCATCGAGAGCAAACGTCTATGGCGAGAGAACGTTGAGGTATATGCTGCCGCGGCTAATAAATGGACTACTCAGTCAGTTATTACATAGTGTAACCAAACATAAAAAGAAGTTATACTTCTTTGGTAACAAGATAAAAATCTTTTCAAAAATTGTACAATATTTAACTATACAATATAACAATAGTAAACTATTGGGTACAACATTTTAACGTTTCGTGACCACCCAGTGACTCTTTATACCTAAAAGTTACCATTATGTTGTGTAAAGTACTGGAAAGTCGAAAATAATATTAACAATAACGCGTAATTCAATCCCCGCTCCGCATCGTAACGTTTTATAAATAGAAATGTTAATGTGGTTTGAATAGTAATAAAAAGTAAATCTTTTAATATCTTCACATGTTTGAGACAGTTTGACATTGAATTAAACATTTCATACGAAATTTTATATTAAGATGCTGCCTGGCGAAGCTCTCTCCGTCTAACAGTTTCGAAATTTTTAAGTGCAATTTCAACGTTTTGCGGTATCAACACAAACCATAGACAAACATACGTGAGCTGTCAGTTGTTGAGCCGTCATTTATCAAACAGCTAGAATTATGTTTCTTTTTATAATAAATTTTTTGTCATAAGTTAATTCTTATTACTACTTATTTTTTGTCATAAGTTAATACTTATTACTACTTATTTTTTGTCATAAGTTAATACTTATTACTACTTATTATTTGTCTTAAATATGATTATTTTACAATTTATCCAATTCCGAAATTCCAGTAAACTAAAAATCATCAAAAACCCTCCAGCCGTTCTTGATTACAAATAAACCCGTCGCTAAGAGTTATTATGAATTACAAAATTTTTAACATTTATCCTGACGATTTCATTGTATTGAAATTAATTTTCAGATACACACAGGTTTGAAGCCGTTCAAATGCGAAACTTGTGGTAAGGCGTTCACGACGTCTGGCGAGTTGAGGGCTCATGTGGAACATGTCCATATGAAGAAACCCTGGCCCAAGAGATCGCGGAGAGGAAATGAAGAACCCTGGAAGTGTATGCAGAGTATGGAAGATTAGGGTGAGTGTTTTGAGGGGGGTTGATGTCATAGTGACAAGAAGAGTAGAGTAGAGAGTGGAGTGAAGTAGAGTGGGAGAAAGGGTGATCAACCTTGTGTGCCCGATACAAAGTTTTGGCATAAGGCACACCGGTTTCCTCACGATTTCCAATTGTTTGAGTCTAATAATAGTTTTTTTTTTAAATTGCACGAGTTCTGTATGTGAAAACGAACCTACGAGGTTATCAGCCCACCTATATATATGAAAGCTCCATAAAAGTGACCTACTTGAAATTACGATTTAAGTCAATAGTTAATCGAATTAAGTTATCATAAAAAAGATACTTCACTGTTTTTTATTTTCTGTCGTAAGTTTAAGGAACAAAAAATACCACTTATTTAAATGAATTAATACATTTATATTATTACGATTGATATTACAAAATTTTTATTAATTATTGTTAAAAAAAAAATGTTTTCGAGCTATTCACGTATTTGAAATCGGTTTAATTTATTAATTACATTTTTTATTTTCAGGACTGGTTTGGATTCGAAGAATGCGATAAATAACGTAGATTTTGTAAAGATGTGTTCAGTATTATTAAATTATAATTGAAGTGTGTGTAAATTTAAGGAAACCTTTACTTTTCATCATATTAAGTTTCATCATCGGACGTCGAGGCAGAATACGAAATTCCATCCGTATCACCTCGACGTCCGTCGTTCCACAACTGATCGTTTTTCAAGGCAGCCGTGTTTGAGCTTTGTTGCCGCTATGTGGAACCAACTGCTCACTGCGCACTGCTCCGAACCAATTCGACTTAGGGTCTTTCATGAAAAGAGCGTATCAATTCTTATAAGGCCGGCATCGCACTTGCGAGCCATCTCCTTGGGTGATCTAACTTAACATCAGATGAGCCTCTGCCCATTTGACCCCTGTTATATTAAAAACATATCACAATTAACAAGAGCCGTTATATGCGAACGAGTTAAGGTTCTCAATGTATGTCTAGATCAAATTTCTTATATAAAACTGAAAATTTTGATTGGACGATCTCAGTAACTACTCGACGTAATTCATAATTTAAATACAATTTCCTTTTTTTGTGACGTACATTGTTATAATATGCCCTTTAAATATATACCTGATCCGGCTACCTTTGTTCCGCCCTACAGTTGATGAAGTAGGGCCAATTGAATCTGACAGCTGTCAGTTGTAGCTCCGTATGACAGCTTGAACGATTAAAATGAATATGGCATTTATGTGTGAATTCTGTTATTATAAAAAAAGGGTGCGTGTACTTATGTACGCGCGGAAGAAGTTATACTTCTTTGGCATTATTAAAAATAGGTTTTGATTGGAAAAGGAGTCATTACTGTCAATAAAGTTCAGTTTACATTTGAAAAATTAAATAAATAAATATTTATTATTATTCTCATACATTAAGTGTAACATAAATTGTATTATTATTCGAATGTTGTTTTTAAATTATGTCGTAAGTTTTCTCTCTCATTATTTTTTTATAACGCGCCTAAACAATATACAATATCTTCAAAAATATTTTATAGTATTTTATTTTCTATCGTTTAAAGAACGATAGAAAATAAAATACATTTTTAACATCTAACAAAAAATTTTTTTATTAAATTAACTATCAGTACGTAGTGTTTTACGTAATTTCAGTAAATATTGACAATGCCAACTGTGCCATATATTTTATTTATTGGAATCAATAATAAAATTCCATAATACATATGGTTATAGAAACGTTATTTATGTAACTTTAAAAAAAAATACACAGAAACATGTATTTATAATTAATTTGTTTTCACAGACGTACAGATACACAACCCAAAATAAAAATTAAAAGAATACATATTTTATATTAAACTTTCTCGCTGGGGCAATCGCATTGGTTAAATTATTAGTGTTTGATCAAATAACATATGTAGTTTTAAAACTCTCGCATTATCCCTTTCTTGATTCGATATTTCTATCAAATTGTGTTAACGTTGTGATGTCAAAAGAGTGATTTAGTCAAAAAGCAATCAGACCAGTTTTGAAGGAAGGAAATTTTTTTACCTAAATAATAAAATAATGTTTCATTTACTTAGATGTAGTAAACTAATAAATGAAGAAAAGTTTTGTTACATATTAAATTTTCGAATGGAGGAGTAATTACTTTTTTTTTTGCGGGTATTTGTAATCAGCCCTAAGGCTATGAGCGAATCTGTTCTGTGATGCTGTCATCTGGAGTGGCTTCCCATTGGAAGCATCTACTTATCTTCTGTCTAGAGCTACTGCCGGTCTTCTAACTCTAGAATATGGTGACGTTTTAGTCGTCTCATATACTGTTCTATGGTGAGTTGGCGAATCCAGTTCGTAAATCATAATATATAATTAATGTAGGAGTAATTTCTTGTACCTAAGGGAGCGTTCAAGTATTACGTTACCCCCCTCCCCCCATGTATCGCGCTGTAACGTTTTTCTGTACCCAAGTACATATAGTAAAACGTGACGTGACCACCTAGTGACTCTTTATACCTAAAAGTTACCATTATGTGGTGTAAAGTACTGGAAAGTCGAAAATAATATTAACAATAACGCGTAATTCAATCCCCGCCCCGCATCGTAACGTTTTACAAAAGGACCCCGATCCCCAATTTGTTACGTAATACTTGAACGCTCCCTAACCGAGAATTGTAATAATTTTGTACATGCTTCACGATAATATAAAATTTTACATATGTCATTTTCATACTTTCTTGAACGTAACACCCATTTTGTAGACCTACAGGCCCTTCAATAGGACTCTTAAAACGTCTTTTCAAGTTCTGTATAAAAATAGAAGAACATTAACTATCCTTTTGGTTATAAATCATTGCGTACTCATTTAACTCTCAAATAAGTAAATATAAATAATTAAAAAGAAGAGAGATGCGAGAGAAAACCCCTAAAAATCCCTGTTTGACAATTGACATGTTTGTAGCAAAACTGAGCGATTGTTAAGGCAGTTTTTGCCTCGCACCACTATGTGGAACCAGCTGCCCACTGAAGTAATCCCGAAACAATTCGACTTAGGGTCTTTCAACAAAAGAGCGGACCAAGTCTAATTCTTAAATAGGCCGGAAACGCCATCGCGAGCGCGCTGGCGCTCCTAAATCTATGGCGGTACAACTTCTTAGGTCTGGGCCTCGGATTTCTGAATCTGTTTCATGATAATTTGTCAATGTAATAGGCAAGTATGTGATCAGGCTACTGTGTTTGACACACGCCATCGACTTTATGGGTTTAAGGCAAGTCGGTTTCGTCAGGTTTTTACTTCACCGTTCGAGTGAATGTTAAATGTGAAAGAAAGTCCATTGGTGCACAGCCGGGGATAGAACCTACGACCTCAGGGTGAGAGTATGCTGAAGCCACTAGGCTAACACATCTCTGACAAAACTTTACCACTATTAGATATAAAATCATGAAGCTTTATTTTCTGATAAAACTCCGATATTTCCTCTCGGAAATTATGTTAATTTTCCTAACTGGTGTCTTCGAATTCAACTTCCTACGCGATTTGGGAGTCACACATAATTCCAAACCTACTTTTGGTTTGGTTGGTTTGTCCTAGGAATTGCTCTTTAAGGGCTTTTATTAGATCCAATAGAGTATTGTTCCCTAATTTGGTTGCCGCACTATAACATAGATTTCAAGTCTCCAAAAAAATATATCTGTTAAGGAAACTGATGGCACTGAGATGTGATTTTTTTCTGTACAAGAAGAGAGTGAGAAGAAGTGGCGAACATATTATGGCAGTTTTGCCGCGTACTTATATATTAAATGTCAAACAAATGTTACTTCCTTGGGCTACAGATTTTTATTTCTACTGTAACCTAACCGTATGTTAATAAACAGTAATTTAAAGTAACATCTTCCTGTTAGTTTAACGTCCGCTCGTGTTTTTAAGAATTTGTCTTAAAACTCACGCTTAAAGTGTAAGCATAAGCATTTCATTCTTTATAACTATAATCCTTTTGCGTCTACGCACTGGATTCAAGGAGTCGAGCGACTGAGTTTCTCATTAAATAATTCGCAATACAGTTAAATTTCGCCGCCGTCGACTAGGCAAATGATATTTTATTCATGGACTGCCTGTGAATCTATGGAATTCAGATTCATAGACAAATGACAACACATCATTATTGACATTTATATTTCAATATTATGTAGAATTAAATTGTTCAAGTTAAATAAAATAAAAAATATGGAAAATAAAAAAACTAAGAAGACCAAGACTATGTAAGTTTTTTAGGATAAAATCACATCTCAAACATATTATATTAATCTGTATACTTCCTATTACATATAATATAATTCCTACCTATTATATTTGTTTAAATATCTTATATATAAAATTGTCACAGTGTCATAATGTTAGTTACCATACTCCTCCGAAACGGCTTGACCGATTTTTCTCAAATTTTATATGCATATTCAGTAGGTCTGAGAATCGCCTACTATATATTTTTCATACCCCTAAGTGATAAGGAGTGTGTAAATTTTTATTTTTTAGATTAAATTTTATGTTTTTTTTTATGATACAGAATACAAAAATACATACAACCCTTAATTTTCACCCAAATTCAAATTCAAAAATCATTTAATCATATAGGTAACACATTGTACACTGATGACTTGTCAGTAAACAAACCCCTCTACGATCAACCCCTATTTTTTATTTGTTAATTAAAATCTTACGACTTATGAGGTTTATATAGAAAAACCCTAAAAAGTTTTCATTCCAGAAAACCGAACAAATGTTTCATATATTGGTATGTAGCTACTCAAAAGTGGGCTAAGTTAAAAAAAAACATATTAAGGCGAAACCAAGTTCGCGGGGGCAGCTAGTTAACTTTATAAATAAATACAGTCCACAAACTTATTGGTCTGTAATCTGTTCCTTAGATTCATGTCATCTGTTTCGACTTTTACTTTTTATAATATACAATGTAAGCAGCCTTTTTTTGTCTGAC